GCCTGAAGAGAGTTTACGACCAAGAAGTTTCTGTTAGTGTTCCAGATGCATCAGATGTAGGAGTTAATTCTATTGTTGAGAACAACGAAGTTGGCTATCCAGTGTACTCAATTCCAGAAGATGAAAGGCGTCTTGTAACACAAGCATGTTTCTGGAAGCATGTTTCAGACTTTGTGAAACATAAGCTGGTATCTATTTCGATCGATCTAGATGATGGTATCTCGAATAGTAGTTCCTCTGAAAAACTTGGTGCTCAGACATCATTGTGTTCCAGTGATGACATTGTATTTGTAACTGAGAAGATCATGTCCGTTCTGGGAAAAACACTGATTAGCACCCTTGCTCAACTCTCTTCCTACCATATAAAACAACTTGTATTGCTCTTGAAACAGAAAATAGAGAAGAGAATTCAGGTTCCTACCTTGTTATGGTTGCACGAATGTCGGGAATCTCATGCAAATTTTATTAATGGAGCTATCCCAGATGCAGGTATAGAGAATGAAGACAATGGGGACCTTGCAATTTCTGTGAGGTTTTGGAAGCTTTGTGTTGATACTCATCTAGTATTCGAAGCTTGTTTGCTAGAAAATTTTGACATATCTGAATGGTCAAAATTAAAACCATTGGAAGATTGGAGTGATATATACAGAGAAGTAACTGGGAATAATGAGCTCAATGTGCCATGCAGTCAAGATGGTAAGAGTAGTAATGGGGTGGCTTCACCTACAAGCCACGCTTCAAATTCTTCGCATAAAGCTACAATAACTGCCAATGAAAACTCGGCTTTCCAGAACCCCAAAGAAATCCATAAGAGGACAGGGGAACTCATAGAGGTAATTGTTTTTCTTACATCGACCAACAAGTACTGATATTCTTTGTGGAAACTTTGCTATGTTTGGTGGTTGAGTATTCTCATCTTTCTAACAGGCCCTATGTATCAACGCCATCAACCATGGGCAAGCTGCATTAGCTAGCAATCGCAAGGTCAGTAATCGCATTTGTCTATCTTTACTTTTTTGTGATTTGAGAAGTTGTAGAAACTTGCCATATATAATGCACAAAACTTTGACTATGCATAAGATGAGTCTGAATCCTGGAAAACCTCCAATCATCTTATGTCTTTATCCTGTTTCGAGATAAAAGTTTCTTACGATATTGCATTTCCCCATAGCAACACCAAGTTTATGTGTATTTGTTGTTGCATTGTTTTCTTATGCGTAGTAATAATGTGGCGTCAGACATAAACACATCCCTGAATGTGGATTCTGTTACATGCAGGGTATCATTTTCTGTAACCTAGAAGATGGTGGTTCCCGCGATGATCAGTCAAACTATATATGGTCAGATGCTGATTGGCCACATAATGGTTGGGCTAACTCTGAGTCAACTCCTGTTCCAACATGTGTCTCACTCGGTGTTGGTCTTGGGGACAAGAAAGGAGCACACCTTGGGTTAGGTGGGGCCACTGTTGGTGTCGTTTCTCTTTCCAAGCCTGGGAAAGCTCACAGAGTTCCGGGTTACACTGGGTTAGGAGTCTCTGGTCTAGGTTGGGAAACTCAAGAAGATTTTGAGGAGTTTGTTGATCCTCCACCAACAGTTGGAACTGTTATTACGAGAGCATTCTCTAGTCACCCAAAAATGCCTCTCTTCTTAGTTGGCTCAAGCAACACTCACATTTACTTGTGGGAGGTATGAACCTAAGCATTTGCATCATCTGTTTAATTTCTTTTGTTTTATTTCACGTTAACGAGTGTCTATTGAATGTCAACGATAAAATATGAAGCATTTTGACAGGGTGGCATTTCTTAATATCCTTGTGGATCTTATTATGCAAACATTATTACATCTTGTAGTTTGGGAAAGACAGAGCTACTGCAACATACGGTGTTCTGCCTGCTGCAAATGTTCCTCCTCCATATGCTTTGGCGTCAATATCAGCAGTGCAATTTGGTCCATGCGGACACAGATTTGCTAGCGCTGCATTGGATGGAACAGTATGCACTTGGCAATCAGAAGTTGGAGGAAGAAGCAATATCCATCCTGTTGAATCATCTCTTTGCTTCAATGGCCATGCATCGTATGTTTCATGATCCTTGAGTTGTTAAGTTCTCGTTAACTAATGTGCTAAAAGCACCCAAAATTTGGAATTTATTGCACTCACTCGTGAAAAGTTACCATTTGTTTTCTGTTGATATGGTTGCAGAGATGTAGAATATATCAGTTCGAGTGGATCTATCGTTGCAGCTTCAGGATATAGCTCAAGTGGTGTCAATGTAGTTGTATGGGATACTCTAGCTCCCCCATCAACCTCTCAGGCATCCATCAGTTGTTATGAAGGTCTCTTCCAATAACACAAATCGAAAATAGCAGATTAATCAACATTACTATCATTTTCACATAACCATAACTCTTCTGTTTTTTTTTTTCTTTTCTTTTCCTTACACGAAGGTGGTGCACGCTCTATCTCGGTATTTGATAATGACATTGGTAGTGGCTCAATTTCTCCTATGATTGTAACCGGTGGCAAAAATGGTGATGTTGGATTGCACGATTTCCGGTATATTGCAACGGGTAAGATGAAGAAGCAAAGGAACTTTGACGGAAGAACTTCGACTGATGGAGATCAGAACAAGAATGGGATGCTTTGGTATATACCAAAGGCTCACTTAGGTGCGAACCTTATACCCTACTTTGACCTTCATGTTCTGTTTAAATTGGAAAATGTTTCTCTGAATCTGGTTGGTGCAAATATCAGGGAGCGTGACCAAAATATCGACAATCCCGCAAACTAGTCTGTTCTTGACGGGAAGCAAAGACGGAGATGTTAAACTTTGGGATGCAAAAGCAGCAAAGTTAATTCATCATTGGCCTAAACTACACGAAAGACACACTTTCCTGCAGCCAAACTCTAGAGGCTACGGTGGAATCATTCGGGTAAGTAAAAGCTTAAACCTTTCATCCTATTTTCTTACAAAGGTTTCGGTTTGGGTTTTCGTTTTAGTGAATCTGAATTTATGGTAAATCGTTCGGCATATAATCAAATTATATCTTTATTATTGTTTGGAAAATGTTTTATACTTTGGCTAACCAAAACCCAAACCTATAAAGTTTATAAACCATTTTAGCCGTAATAAGGTCTCGATTTTCTAGAGTAGGTTTTCTTTATTCTTTCGTTTAATCCTAACTATATTCAGGTTTTGTGTCATCTTTAAAAACTTAAAACTTAAAAGGTTGAGTTTATATTACAAATTTATTGCAGGCTGGGGTCACTGACATACAAGTTTGTCGGAATGGATTTATCACTTGTGGTGGTGATGGCACTGTGAAGTTCGTCAGCCTCAGAGATTCCTACGACAATGGAAAATAAAACATTTTCCGGGAAAACTATTACAGCCAAAAAGACGAGTGAGGTAGAGTATTTCAGATTCGTAATTTTTTTGTAATGTAAGTTTTTTTTTTTTTTTCTCCCTATGGTATATTTTTGGTGTATACACGCACTGACGCACATATGAAAGCAGTGGAAGGAATATTGAGTTGACCTTAATCCAGATTTATAAAATATATCTTTGACTTGACTTCAATATACGGAAATATCATCATCTATTTATCTAACTTTGACATGGTTTGCATTGACTTAGTTGATTGGGATTTGACCGGATTCATGGAATCGGACTGACCGACTCCAATCACATTGGAGATTTCAAGTTTATGTGTACCGATAATTGCAAAGAGCAAAAGCAAACATTACATCAAAACCGAATAATTTTGGTTCAACTTGGATTTTTGTATGCTTGCTGAACCAAGACAACCTTCAAAACCGAATTAAATACCTCAACAATACACACTCGCAATATTTAACAATTAAAAAAAAAAAAAAAACAGAACTAGACGCCATTCAATCCCAGCTATCGCTCATCCTATTGTGAAATAAAGTCGAACGAATGCTAGCTAAACGTTGTCAACAAATAAACCTGAATAAAGATTTAGTTCGTATTATTGTAAATCTATGTTTTTTTAGGGAGGATTCGCTAGTATTAGACCGTTACAGTTTAATAAGATTATGAAATCTTTGACGGCTTTCGTAAAGAACCTGGCCGTGATTGTATTACGTAGTAGATTATATTATCTTGTGGTTAATTATAAAAGTGCGCCATTATTTTTGATGCAGACGAATGATATATGAATCATCAAATGTTTGATTAAACCCATTATTATCCCTAATATTATTGTTAAGAAAAGTGTCCATTTCATTTGATACCTATTCTAATGATGTTAGTTGTATGCATCTTATATTGTTTTAATTATGACGAATATATTAGTGCTGACATAAAGCATCTTCCTATAAAATTATCATTGTTTAAATTTCTTGTGGAATCAGATAATAAAAATATCTAATGTAACTATCAATTGGAGAATAGTGGGGAGAGAGAGAGAGAGACAATTAACCATATAATGACTTGAAGAAACTTTTGCTTCACCTAACGTTCAATTACTAGGCGACGTCACTATTTACATTCTCTGTACCTAATCTTCAAATCTTTTTTTTTTTTTGAATCTTCATACTCTAATCTAATCTTCAAATCTAGTTTAAACCAAATCAACATGTATTAAGATCTTATTTTTGAAAATTTTCGTAAGGTAATTGAGACAAATATCAAAAGTTTTAGAAAAACTGAATCGAGTTAGCTAAATCTTCTGTGGATTAAGATTTTTGTTTTTACTAGTATTAATCAAGACATAAGGTATTAATAGCGCGTGGCGCGTATTCTGAAGAGCCAGATTTCGCTCCTAAGTCTCCAAATCATGTAGATAAAAGGTCTTATCCGTAAAAAGAAGAGAGAGAATCCCCACTCGATCTTCTTGTTTCGCGCCACGTGTAATTAATATCTAATCGAACGGTTCTCGTGTGAAATCTATGGGCAAATCTGTGGACTCAAAGACTCAGAAACATAACTATGGGTCCTGAAAAACGGTACCGTTTAGCGGAAGTTTGCGTGCTGAATGACACATGAAGAAAACGATAACTGCAAGATTCAAAAGCTTCATCGGAAGCAAACAAAAAATCTCTGACAATTAAAAAAAATCAGACAACTCTATCTCCGCTTTTTTTTTTGCTGTCTTCACGGGAGTGACCTCTCGATTCGTTATATCTGATCGATTCTTTTATTCCGGTGTGTGGATTTCGTCCCTGATTGATCCCGGTGTTACTCTCTTCTTCTGGTTGGTTTTTTTTTTTTTTTTTGGAAATTCTGCAAATTATTGTTGTTTCTCTGAAGTTTTTTCGTTTCTAGTTGGTGATTATGCTGCCGACAGTTTATTTCATCATCCGCTGTTTTCGTGTTTTGGGTCTCATCGGGTCTGATGGTCTTTTTTTTGGGGATTTAATAAAATTTTGGGATTTGATTCTGATTTGATAATAATTGCAGAGAATGATTGTTTAGTTGGTAGGTAGGTTAAAAAAGAGTTTGCTTAATTTTGACCAGAATCTGGCTCTGATTTGTTTGCTTCTAGTGAACTTAGGAACTAATTCTTCAATTTCCCTTAAAGCAAAACATCAGATTCTTTTATTGAAAAGGGTTGGCAAGCTTTTTGGTGATGGATCTGTCTTCACCTTTCTTTCGTAGAGGTTATCTGGCCGTCTCAGAAAGATTCCTCCTTTTAAAATGATTCATTATCTTCTATAAATGGAATCAAATGGTTAATTAGACTGCTAAACCTGAATCACATTTTGATTGTTTTTGTTTTCATCCTCAGTCTTCTGTCTTATTACAGAGTTATGGTGAAATGATGGCAGCTGCTGAAGCAAGAGCAGTTTGGCAAAGAACAGTTAACCGTTGCTTTGTCCAAGAAGACGCTAAAAGAGCTCCCAAGTTAACCTGTTGCCAATCTTCATTATCAGCTGCTTCAACTAAACAGGTTGGAGATTCTGGATCTACTCGAGCTCTTGTTGATCCTCCGAATCAATCATCTTGTGCAGGTTTCATGCCTCGAAACCCTAATTTCCCTGATGTGTTACCCCACAATGCCAGATTATGGGGTCATCATCATCATCACCACATTCAGCCAAACCACAAGGAACAAGTGAAGAAACCATTAGAGCCTGAGGTCGATATCTCTGACAAGAAACCTGAACTGGGAGCCAAATCTTTCAAGTCCGAAAGCTTTCAAGAGTTTATAGAGTTGATGGAAACGAGGGAAAGTTATGGTTCCACTGGGTATGATGAGTCCTCTGAGAAAAAGTTACTAAATGAGCTATCTTTCGATCCGAGTGCTCCATGGAATCCTCTCTCGAGCGAGAAAGCTGGACCGTGGTGGCGAACCACCGATAGAGATGAATTAGCTTCCTTGGTTGCACAAAGGTCTCTAGACTACGTTGAGAATTGTGATCTACCAACACCACAGAAGATGAAACGCTCTTATTATGGTAGTCCACGTTGTTTCGACTCTGATGGGCTCCGAGATTACTCTGTCTCTAAGCAAACCATCCACGAGCACGGGCCAAGAAGCTGCCTGAACAGAACTGAGGATTCGTCTGAGTCTGAATTAAGCAAATCAGAGCTACTAGAAGCGCTGAGGCGTTCCCAAACACGAGCCAGGGAAGCGGAAAACATGGCTAAAGAGGCGTATGCAGAGAAAGAGCATTTGGTGAAGCTCCTGTTCAAGCAAGCCTCAGAGCTTTTCGGGTATAAGCAATGGCTACAGCTGCTTCAGCTTGAAGCACTTATCAAGAACAAGAAGATTGAGAACAACAACAAGAAGAACAACGAGCCACCAATTTCCATCCCTTGGAGCAATTCCAAAGCAAGAAAACCGGGGAGAAAGAGAAGAAACAAAAGGGCTAAACCGAATGCAGCTAAGTACGCGGTTGGTTTAGCTTTGGGGATGAGTCTTGTTGGTGCTGGTTTGCTTCTGGGTTGGACTGTGGGATGGATGCAGATGCTATCTTTCTAGGTCGAAAGAGAAGGAAAAGAGAAGAGAAGAGAAGAAGAAGAGAGACCTCGAAAGGTTTTCTGAAAAAAGATCATCTTTTTCTCAGTGAGCAGCTTGATGATCTTGAAGTTAGTTTAAGATTTGCTTCGAATGCAGCTTTTGAATTTCGTTGATGAGAATGTAAATTGTTGTAAGAATTTTGTTAATATTATGTTTCTAGTTTGATAAGTTTCTTAAAATTCATACATATGAAATGATCTTTCATGTGAGTATTTATCTGCGTGTGTTGATTTCTTAGCTATATGATCTTTCTTCCATGTACACATAAATAGCTTCTGTCTCTTTTTTATGTAATTTGTTTATGTTTCGTGGATTTAATACAACTTTAAAGACTACATATATATATATATATATATAGGTGATGTATAGATTTAACAACTTTGTGTGATACAATTTTTATGGACGTTGAGATGATGATGAAACTTTGTGCTTATAACTTTAACCGGAAAAATTAATTAATTGCTTTTAACAGTGACAAAAATTTTAGTTGAATTGATTTTCACTTCTTGGGTAAAAAATCCTAGCTTTTTCACTCTTTTTTTTTTAGTTTTTCGTTTAACTACTCGACTACGTGGCAAAACCGGAAAAGTGATTTGATTGCGAACATTCGGGCCCGGTGACCCGACCCGATTTTAGAGGATCCTTTTTAAAAGCCCAGTGGGTAGTCCGGAAAATCAATCGAATCAAAGACATCGACGAGCTCCGAGAATTTCGTCTCAAATCGAATTGTGGGAAAAATGCCGGTCATGGAGAAACTGAGGATGTTCGTCGCGCAGGAGCCGGTTGTCGCTGCGTCTTGCTTAATCGGCGGTGTTGGTATGAACCCTAATTCATAATCGTTACTCACAGATCGAAAAGATCGATCGGCAATCTCTTTTCTTCTTAGAAATGATTTGCTTCAGGATTTATCTAGTTTCTGGAAACCCTCTTTGAACGTATGGCTAGTTTTTGTAGTGGTCTGAGAAATTAGAAATGTATGCAAGGGGACATTTCGAGATTCGGAATCGCCATATCTAGGGCTTTTCAAAGAAGAGTGGCGTCAGAAGTTGGAACCTAGTTCCAGCCTCGGTTACTTCGATAGCTGGTTAATTAAGAAGACTAGTGTTAGCAAAAGGCAATGTGTTGTTACATTTTCTGAAGGTTGTTCTTCATCTTGTGTAGGACTCTTTTTGCCTGCTGTTGTGAGGCCTATTCTAGATTCACTCGAGGCTTCCAAGCAAGTCAAAGCGCCTCCACTTACAGATGTAAGTATCAGATACAAATTTTGAACATTTCTTATACTTAGATGGTTAAATTATTCGATGATTTCCTCTCTAATGTATGTCCCTGATCCGGAATCTCGGCATTGTGAATTCCTATGTTTGGTTAGGCGAATGTTTAGATGGTTCCAGGTTCTGTATTTTTATTTTGTTTTGTGTGTTGTAACATAACATCATCTCAATGTTTTGCCTCTCCTCACTTTGTTGCATATTCATATGATTCGCTTGGTTCATGTATGACTCTGTGAAAATGCTATGCTTTTCTTCATGGACGAGTAGCATCATGATCACGTTTTGTTAATTTCATAAAACCAGGATTGGGCACAAAATATATTTGTTATTAGTTAACCCTTTGTTTAGTAACCCAGTACTGAAATATGCGTAGACAAACAAATGCTTCAAGTATTTTTACTCAGATCCAATTTGCTTTTGCAGGTTATTGCTGGTGTCACAGGGAAGAAACAGAGCTAATCCTAGCAATGTTTTCTTACATTCAGATTTCCATATTCCTTTTTTGGTCTTTTAACTCTTTTCTATTTTACAAATGAAATAAGCCAGACTCATGTTTTTGTTTCTGAAACTTATATAAAGGCATGTGTGTATGTACACTCCCTGTCAATCAGATGTATTCATTTCTTAATGACAAATTGAAAAGCTTGGAACTTTTTTGTTGCCATGGCTCATGAGTCTCGAGTACACACACACATATATATGTATAGTATAGCATACATCACAAATATATTAATTTTACAATATAATAGAATTGCTAGTCTTACATACACTCTTAGTAACTCTTACATCAACTTGATCTTCAATAGGTAGATAGAAGATGATTAGTGTTTTGTTTAAGCAATGCAATTGAAAACAGGTTTAAACCTATTCACTTCTCAGCTTCTTGTTCTTCCATGGCATTGCTTGCTTCAATCCTTTACATAAACTTCCCTGCATTTCCCCAAACCAAACCAACTAAGTAAAAGAAAGATTTGGGAAGACGAAGGAGCCAAAAAAAAAAACGAATACTTTACCCAAAAGTGAGATCCTTTTACAGGTCCACCACCATGGAAACTCCCTGATCTGTCAAACCTAGTGATCTTCATATTGTTGCTGATCTCACCTGCTCTCTCGTTCTCCGACAGAAAGACATAACTACCCCTGACAACAAAATCCCTTCTCCCTTTCCTCCTCAAGAACCCAAAGAGCCCATGTTTCCTCTCAGGCAAGGGCATTTGAGCAAATTCACCAGGAAGGAGCAAACGAGGTGGCAAATCAAGACATTTTGGGTAAGAGAGAGGACGAAGAGGATTCTTGGGCTTGCCTGGTTGCTCTTCCCAGCAAAAAGGAACAGAAGCTAGAGTGTGAATCGGAGAAGCAAACACACGTGGACTTGCAGGTGATGACGTGTACAACAATGATCTTGACTTTGCAGCTAACACAAGTGCCAGCTTCGCCTTCTCTTCTTCCTTTTCTTCTCCCATTTTTGTTTTGCTCTGTTTTGTTTCTTTCTTTCCTTTCTGCTTCTTCTTCAGCTTAGGCTGTTTCTTTTTAGGTAGTGGAGAGAGTGAAGAAATCAAAGACACCGCATTAAATATGTCTCAAATCATTTTTGATTATTAATGATCCAACGGTGATTTTTTACTGTTTGACTAGATAGACAACCTTTCATAAAAGTCAATACTCATTTGTTAGAGGAAATTGACAGACCACGTCACCAAATACTTTTATTTTCTAAACTATTATTATTTCTTTTTCACCATATAATATTATTCTAAATAGTGATTTCTTATAACTTTTTATTGCTTCTAACTACCTCACTATTTAGTATTTACTGCGAAATAAACTACTAATTCAATTTCCCTGAATTAAATAAAATAATAAGTGATAACTATAACCCGATTACAGAAAAAGGAATGGCTATTAATCTCATCCGTCTACTCAAAAACCATGTGTTATACTGTACCATGTTTTATAACATGAATTTAAATTAACTAGTCAAATCATTAGAGCTGAAGAGAGATTAAATCAATGTATTGTTTGGCGCAATGAATCAAATTTGATAGTAAAACCAGTAATTCAGGTTATTTTTTCCCCTTTTGTCATTGTAGTCGTAGTAAAATATTACTTTTGAAGAGTAAATAATATTATGTTCAAAGAGGTGTACGCAGGTAAATAGAAATGGACGGAAAATATATACGCGCACTTAGCCCACGTGAAGCGCGTGATCATAAAATATTCTCTTGGGTTTTGCCTTTTTGGGTAAAATGGAAAAGGAGATGCAAAAAGCGCGTGAAACTGCTCTTTAAATCCTTTTTTTCCTGCATATGTATCTTATATTGTTTTTAATCAACAATGTGTGATTCACATTTAATCATCTTCTGTTCATGCAAATTACATCACATACTGCTTGCCATTCTACTCTCGATTCGAATTAGAGAATATTTTTGGTAGTTTTTAACTAATTGTATACATTTTTAATGTAAGGAATGATGTAGCGGACGTCAACTCTCAAAAAAAATTATCTGCCGACAAATGACTTTATTGTTGTGATATAACGATGTAAAGAAAGCCCAAAACTGGACCAATAATGAAAATGTGGTTTCATCAGTGAACATTCCCACCGACACCGAGCTTATGATCTCTCTGAAGCTTAGTGTGGTTTCGCATGTCTAAAGATCCTAATGATGATTACCTATTTTAACAAAAATCAATAAAATACGATGAATGTGGTCTTAGGTGAGGGTTTTTAATATTGAAACGTCAATATTATCAATAAATGTATAATAATAGTAGTAACAAATAAATATTAAAAAAGAGAGGTGGGTCTTTTGTTACGCGGAACCCAATATTAAGGGAGCAGGTTATTTGCATTTGTCTTCTTAGATACAATTATTATTTAACGAAAAAGGGTTATTCTACTAATTTTTAAAATAATCAAATTTACAAACATTGTATTGGATTGACACGTTTATTTTTTATAGATATTTATTTACTTGGGGTTAATTAGTCAACTGAGCATAGGTGATATTCGATCAGATTGAAGTCGTTGTTGATCAGATTGTACTTAATAAAATTTTCATAATTGATTGATTGATCCCCTAACACATCATTAGTCATTACGATCAAATCCACGTCGAAAAAGTAAAGTACACAATTCATACAAGTCAAGTTATGGACTCTTCAAGGCTTCTCTATAGGTTCTATAAGCATTTTGTGTTGAATACAATCCCTCTCTAGTACATTCCTAGCTAGCAAAATAACCAACCATCCAACTTCAATTTAAAAAAAAAAAATTTCTTACAAACCACCTAACTTCGTGACTCGGTGAGAGAATCCAACATAGATAAAAAAAAAAAAAAAAATTCAAGAACTTCATAATTATAGGTAAACTGTCCTCTGGTCCAACTCAAGATTTACGATCGTACCTTCATCATCCAACGACGACTTTGTGCTCATTTTCTTGACCTCATCAGTCGAATATATGAATAGCTTCTTTGCCATTTTACAGAACTCACTGCACATTCAAGAGAGTATGTTAAACAAAAAAACAATCATAATTGAGACCGTAATGCGTTAAGATAGAAAAAGAGAGAGAGAGAGAGAGAGAGCATAAAAACAAGGCACTAACTTCCATGGATCGTCTCCAACGAGCATCATATCTCCTTCGTCGTCTGTAAACACAATAGCCCATTTGTCTTTTGGACTAAGCTCTCCATCAATCTCAAACATTTTCTCTAACTCATTGATTAACTCATCGTATGATCTCAACAACGTTAAATCAACCGCACGTCCAACCGCTGTTCCTTGCTTTTGCACCTTTTCATCATACAAAGTGTCATATTTAATTTTTAGAAGAAAAAAATGTTCTCTTTTTGAATTTGAAGTAATAAAGATGAATGGTTTGTTATACCTTGGTTCGGCTTCTTGTGGATGTTTGTTGCTTCTGCTCCGTCAGTGAGTTAGGATCTTGACATTTGGCAGAACCAGAATTGTTTGAATCCACACTAATAAGTAGCTTGTCAGGAGGAACTGGAGCAGTAGAAGCAGGCTTGCTCATGAGATCGAATCCGAATAACCTACAGCAACTTGTGACCGGAGTCTCGGTTTTCTTGCATTGTAATCCGCTTGGAAACACTGGTTTGTTGGAGTTTCTTTCGGTTGATGGATCTTGAAACAAAAGTCTGAGTGATGAATTGGAGTCGAGGCTCAAGAAAGTAGAAGCGATAGGACTCCCTGTGATTTCTGCAATGCAAGATGAAACTCGAGAACGAATTACTGAAGATAGAAAACCGGATTTGGTTATTAGAGATCTTTCCTTCTTGATATGAAACTGTTTGTAATACATATTGGACATGGTTAACTCTAAGAACCATTTCAGGGTATCTCTAATAAAATACCTAAAGTTTTGTTTTTTGAAGGTACCTGAAACTGATGATGAATTAATGGGTCTGGACCGTTTGGACTTTGATTGTGGTTGAGTAGGTGTTGGGGTTAGCACGGATGGTGAGAAAGGCTCGATCTCCCACGTTGAGACCTTGTTTGGTCTCTGAACCGTAGATGGCTCGTCCCATTGGATCTAAAAAGAGGAAGCAAAAAAGATTCAAAATTTACAGAAAGTAATGCAACAAGAACCATATATCTAGAGAAAATAGATCACATTCACTACTAAACCTGCAACGACCTCCATTTCGAAGCTGGCCATTGAGAAGATAGATCTCCAGTACCAACAATCGTACCCGTAAATCTGAAGAAGAAACCAGTCAAGATCTCAAACAACCTCAATCAAGAGAGCATCCACAAATAATCAAAGTGGAAATGAGGAATCTACATTCTCTCAGGAGACTCTTCTCCTTCAAATCTCATTCTAAACCGCATACCGATAGGAAATCCAATTTTCATGGCCGCCATATACTTGTTCACGCCGATTATGAACTGGCTTATCCTGAAATGAAGAGAGACGATGTTAAGCTAAAACCCCTTGACTAGCAAACCTTATATCAGATGCAAAGTTCAAAACTTTACCTCGGCTTATAGAAGACAACAAACAGAGTTTTGGTGTTAACAGCATGAGAAGCAGTAGCAAGAACTCCCAAATGCATACTCTGACTCGAGATCACCGATGCAGGCATTGTGCTTTGTTGCCTCGCTAAACGTCTCACGCCAACTCGTAAATCCCCAGTTTGACCCCTTTAAACCAACATAACATATTATAAGACTAGTTACTATGAAGCTCACGAAAGTAAAAAGACTCGAGCTTTTTTTTTTTTTTAAACAACCTCAAGAACACAAATGCATCTCCAGCTACAAGTCTTTTCGAGGTTACAAATGTACTCCAGCCCGTTGTAAGCAAATGCCTCCTCGGTTGCCCTATCAAATGAGACAAACTCATTAGACTCTTAAACGCTTAGAAAACCCTCACTCAATAGAGAATATCTTCTTACCTCTGAATATATGCTTAAACCTCCATTCGTAGCCGTGGAGATCTCTAGCTACCAGTTCTTGAGTCGGTGTAGGTTGTCTCATATCCTAAGAATTGGGGAATCAAAATGATAAAGAAATGAAAAAAATCAGCAAAAGAAGGATCAAAAATCGGAAAAACAGAGATGAAGGATATAAAACATTTACAAGTGAAGGCAAGCACTCAGTGGCGTGTTTACGAAGAACAGAGAATCCACCATGAGTGCTTGTATCAGAAGCTGTTAGAATCTTAACAAATGAATCAACCGATTGTTTAGCAGGTTCGACTAGAGGTGGATCAAGGCTTGTAGGTTCACTTTGCTGCAAAAGAAAATTAAAAAAAATCGAATTCAAATTCACCGAATTGATCACATTAGTCAAGATTTGTTGAACTTACATCTTCCTCTGGTTGTAATGTGATCTGAGCATAAACCTCGTCTGTCTCATGCTCTGCTTTTAACATGACACTAAGAACTCGACAGAGTATCTTTGGAGGAAGATTAAAATCAGGTATTTCTTGATCAACGACTCCTTGATTAGTCAAAGCCACCAACTGGCGAAAAACAAAATAAAGAAGAAATTCAAGTCTTAAAAATTGAGAAAGAGGAATATGAAGAAAAGGAAGAATTTTGGAGTTTTTGATTATTATGTTTAAAGCTTACTTGTTCCATGTGACCTTGAGGGAAGTAGAAAACTCTTTCACCATAACGAGGAACTTCCACAAGTGGCCCTGCACAAGCTTTCCACAGCTCCATGTACAATTGATCATCATAAGACCCTAAATTCCAAGAAAAAAAAACCCTTCAAATTTTAAAAACAGTTGTAAAATTCGAAACTTCTTAGCTCGTTAACAAAAAAGAAAAAATGTTGACTTTTTCCCGGGAAAAAGCTAGGAAAAGGAAACTTGGGTATTTGAAGTCAAAAGAGAATTTCTCTATCTCTCAACTCACCTGATCTTCTGAAATCAACATCTACATTCGCCATCGAGGAAATCCAATCTTTTCTTCTAATCTCAATTACAAAAGCAACGAGCAGCTAAAAATCGAGCTTCAGAAACCAAAACTCTTAAAGCAGTTAATTCATCAGAGAAACACACAAGAAGAAGACGACAAGAGTTATCAAAGATGGGTAAGAAGAATGTAAAATAAATAAAAACTAAATAAACTCTATTTTCTTTAACGAGACACGACGGTTATGTCTGTATTCATTACAGAACGTCAGAACATAAATTCATTACAAAGCACTGTTGGATAAAAAAATAATTTCATTTCTCTTTTCCGGGTTTTTCTCTTAAAGGCTTTTCAGTTTCAGTTACGAACCGCTTCTTCTTCCTTCTGCCTTTTTGTATTTCTTCTCTTCTCTCCTCTCTTCTCAAACTCCATATTACTTTGGCTATTCGTTCACAAACGTCTTGCTGTTTTGCTTTCCTTTCCTTGAAGTGTTATAAAAGAAACGTATGGTCAATTATTGTTAGAGCGAATCTGGACCGTTAGATTAAAGGAGAACGGTTATTGTGCAGTTGTGCAATAGTAGTAAATGTGAGTTTAGCTCTAATTATATCATGCCTTTTCAGTTTTTGCACTAAGTCACTAACCCTACTACTCTCATTATGCAAATTATTATATAGCTTCTTACCGTAATAAGGCGCGTGAAGCCAAAAGCTGGTGGTGTTGTTCTTTTTTTATTTATTTTAAATCCCGTTAGGAGTTCCGTTAGATTTGACGGAGACGTTACTATCTTGCTCTATGTCTGGAACGTGGCAGGCAAACGTGTTGGCTCATGAATGTTGCGGCAGAGATTTTGCCATCCATCGGACGTTATGGTTAAGAGCTTTAATACCCTATATATCAGGGGATCAAGAAGGATTTATGGTACAGTTTTTTAGATAAAAAATTTTAATATTAAGGAGACAGTATAATCCCGACGAACCTGAAGAGACGGTATCATTTCAAAATGAAGCATCCTGATTGGTCGAAAATTATAATTTTCGAATTAAAAAAAAACATAAAACCAAAAAAAAAATGTTATTATATTCTGATAAGTCCCTTATGTACTCTAAGAAAAGATAATGGCCACGCTGCATTCAACGAATCAAAAATAAGCACGTGTCAAAGTATTTTACTTCATACACACTGCTCGATCACAATGGACATTACTGTTCTCCCCAACACCAGGTAGAGTAAGTGAGTAATCCCAAATACTATCAATTTTTTTTTAAAAAAAAAAAATTAAAATACAATCAATCTTGAAAAGATAGATAATTTGAGATTTCTCACGTAAATACAACAATGTTTTATTTGGACGGAAAGGTTATTTTTTTACAGAAATGAGGAATATTATGGATTACGTACGTATCACATCAGTTCCAATGATAACGTTAAATATTACAAAATAAAGATAGCGTTCGTTTTTTTCTGACGGGATAGAAATAACAGAATTTTATTCATTCAATTTCCATCACTGTAAAAATAGATTGGAATATTTCAGCCCACTGCTGTACTTGTAAATCAAATTCAATTTTGTTTTAGCTAATAACTATTCCAATCAATAAAATCAAACTAATACTGACTAAACGATGGAAATTAACTTTTTATTAGTTACTTTTTAGCCATTTTATTTTGACTAAACAATGGAAATTAACTTAGAAAAATTCTTAGTTCGGATTTTAATATAACATATATGTTTATACATCCCGATATGAATTACATTTTAGTCAAGTTGTAAATATCTCAACACAAAAGGTACCTTTTACTGATAATACATATTAAAATATAAAGAGAAAAACGAACAATAAAAGTAGAGGACCGTTTACCTCAAAGTGTTGGTTAGGAATATAAGTATTCAAAGTGATTGGAAACGCACGGATGGGAATAACATTATGTTATATTTTCTATTTATAATTGCTTAATTAATGATACAATGGAACTAATTTTACAATATTTATATATCATTTTCTAATATCTAATATTACTTTTTGATATTTATTGGGTTGGGCATTATAGTTAATCACTTATTTAGTCATAATCACCACATCAATAAATAAGAATAACGAATATTCGATTTTAGATATGCAAGTCTTAACTAATTGATCATCATTAAATTTAATTCAAAAAGAAAGTGAAGTTATGGAAAATGACATCATGACCTTATTTTATATTCGAATATACAGATTGAAATATTTATTATGATTAATAGAACTTATTTAAAGTCATGTTATTAGCTTATTGCATTTGGTGTTAAAATTATTATATTTGTAGTACAAGAGTGAGAAGAGAATCAAATGGTTAACTTTAGTTAACAACACATTTGAGAAGATAAGATTTGATTCCAACGTCGTATCTATTATCCTATATATTATGCAAAAATATTTTTTATCGTATTTTTACTTAAAAAGACTGACTTTTATATATTCTAAGTTCTTAACTGGTTCATTATACATTTCATGTTCCGAGTCTTGAATATCTTCCACTAGTTGTTTTGTATTCGTTTAAAATTGTACTTGCCAGTGGATCAGTCAAAACAAGAATACAGTGTTGGTAAATATAGAACGTATAGAGTAATTTACTTACGACGCATTCTTTTAATATGAATTAATATATACAACATTCGTTTGGTTTTATATATGTATACAAAATTCGGATCACAGTAAAGCAAACAATAATATTTCATTCATCTAATATGCAAGGAATGACCTTTCCCTTCACTTAGAGTGTTAGGTCATAACTCGTAAGGAATCTTTAAAACACTAGAGCTCATGGACTTTGGCTAATAAAGATATCAAAAACAAGATTAAAATTCTGACTAGTTATAATATGGTTATCTTAGTTACCATCGATGCAACGGATCCGATCCATTTATTCGGCTACGATTTTAGAGATTATATTCGTGTATTCTATAATACGACTTGACAATTTACACTTTAGAAGTATGCGCTTGGATCACGCTTTCTTGTTATGGTCATACAGTTTCCGAAAGTATCATTAAAATTACACAAAGATAATATGTCAACAAGATATACATTTGGTTATCACAATACAAACTTGACAAAGAAAGTAGTTATCCTATTAAGAGAAATAATATTGCCCAACATGCTGCATTGATCTTAACAGATCATTTTTCTGGGAGTTATAATTGAATTACTATTTCCTTTATCAATATTTCCAAATAGAAAATGATAATTAGTAATAACCAAGTATTAGTGCATATGTGTGGACCGGGAAGACTCAGGATATCTTGTGGAATATTTCTATAGTTTAGGCAAATTTAACTAGAATCCCTACCTCCAATGGAAATTAATCTTAGAGACGGATCGGATATCTAGAATAGCACATACTATACTATATGGTACTTATATTTTTTTTAATGTGATTAATATCAGTGAAAGCATTGTTCAACACATTGTTCCTTCTTTTCTTTTATTTTGAATTATAATTTCATCCTTCATGGCTGACAACGATATATATGTTGATGTTAGTTGCATGGTTATCGAAATAAGGATGGATATTAATTAAATGTTAATAAGGGATACAATCATAGAAATATTAAAATATATATATATATATACACATAGACAATGACATATATAGTGTTACACTAAAACCTAACATGGAGATCACTACATCTATTTGCATGTTCCGACCAGCTTATTAAATATGTTGCTGCATAAATACAAAATGAAATGCAAGAGATATCAAAAATAGAAAAAGATATTTCAAAAACAATAATTAGTACGAGGAGACATATGCACATATTTAAAGATATTTTTACTTATGTGCATACGTACGTACAGCAATTATTTAAACAATAATTCCCTCCAAGAATCACGTACGTACGTATGCCATTAATAGCTGTTCATGATCTTTTAAAGGGTTTAAAGGGTTTAAATATTTTTATCACTTAACATTTCGTATCCGATTGCATGATAATAAATCCAAAAAATTAATAGTATTTTTATTGATTGGGTATCTTCGTAAGAAGTTAGTCCGTACACAGAGCCGTGCCTGAATTTTTTTAAACTACAAGCAAGAAAAATAAAAATGCCCCCTTCAAATCTTAATAATCAAGACTACATATATCAAAATTAACTTTACTAACATAACTTACGGAAAATTAGTCTCAAACAAATATTTAAAATCATCGGTCCTGAAGCACATGCTTCATCAGCCTGTGCTCAAGCACGGCTCTGTCCGTACAACTCCTACGATACGTTTTTTTGTAGAAAAATATTTTTAAGATCCATCCATCGAATAAAAATAGTTCGTATCATTTGTTTCTTTCTATTTATTTTCAAATATAATGGACCATATCACGAAATAAAAGTAAATCGACTAACTATTATATTTAATTGATGTATAAAAGTAATATCACGAAGTAATCCAATAAGACATAATAGTTCTAACTTAAGAAGAAATAAATGATCTCATTACATACTACTAATGGTAATCTGTACAGTAATTATGTTACCAGAATTTAATGTTACACATCAAAGAGTTAGTTTGCATACAGAAATTTCTATAAGTAGAATTAAACACATAATTTTAAGAGTTTCTAATTTAACCTGGAAACAAATATAGAAGTGGTTTTTTTTTTATTAATCTAGAAGTGGTTAAAGAGCAACTATTGTCCTTGTCATTTCCTTTCTCTTAATTTCCAGAGTTTTTATGTTCTCTTTGTTTATAAAATTAATAATATATTTACTTTGTGACATAGGGAAAGGATTCCTAGTACTTTTTGTGTTTATTTATTACTTTTTTAATTTTCTTCAAACAAAGGCACCACCTCACATGTGCGACAAAGGATTGGTCAAAATTTCTTGAAAGCATTAAGTGAAGAAACATTTAAGTATTAATCAAAGAAATTAGCACTCCATTTGTTATTGGAAATCTGGTATTCTTACACTGCCATGTCGTCGACATTTCTAAGAAGAAGTTTCACAAATTCGTTTCTAAAGAATCATTGAACTAAATTTTATGCCTAACTAACTCGAAATAGATTGATTCAAAATACATATGTAATTGAAATTGGGAAAACTACATATTACTGTTGAGTGTTATAAATGCTTAGCCCCGTACATGTATAAATGTAAAAGAAAGGAAAACATTACTCTACCTAGTTCTCTAATTGAGTAGGTTCATTGGATCTAAAAATCCATACAAAATCAGAAACAGAAACACAATCTTGCACTTAAAAAAAAAAAAAAAACAAACTTCCACTTATACGAGAAATTTCAAAAAGAGTCGAATTAAGAAAGTTACTATTAAGTATTAACATTGCTTGGTCCATTGTAATTTTTGTTCTTCTTCTTTGAAATGCCATTTTTCTTATATTTATAAATGAAAAGGCAAATAGCAAAACGAGGGGATCAGTTGATAAATCACATGATCATATCATATGACCATCTCTTTCTCACTGCCAGGGTGGGTCTCAGTCATATCACTGGATTATATACAATCTAACACATAATAATACAAACGTCTAAATAATACAAATGGTTGCCGGAAAAAATGAAAATAATTGATATCGCCGACGTGTGAGGGGCACTACCAGCCGAGATTTTTCTGTAAATAGTGTGTATTTGTAAAGTAAAGTTAATAATATTATTGATCTCCAAATACCAAAAACGCTGCCATTTCCACCCTCCTTTATTCATGTGTTGTTAATTATGATATAGTTAAATAAGATTAGACAGAGTTTAGTGGTCATAGGTCCATATGATTAGCATTGAGCACCAACAAGAACCTATATCACCTCCTAACCTCTTTTTCCCCATTTTCTCTCATTTTCCTAATATTGTACAGTAGAGTCCACTAATCAACTTGAAAAGGAAAATACTTTTTTTTTACGCTCAAAATTAAATAAAAAATAATTTCTATACATTGTAATTCTGAAATGCTAAATTAACTTTACGGGCCACCATCCAATCGAAGGTGTCCGGGCTGCGATTACAAGCCCATTTAATAGGCCCATATATCTACTAGTTTTCCATACCGAATTTAACTTTTTGCTTCTTCTTTTTTCAACATTAACTTATTGCTTTTCTGGGGTGACATTCATGAAAAATGCTTTCTCCATTTATAATAATAAGATAACCATAATCCATGACCATTAGACTTCAGACAGACAAAATGCACATAAACACAGTACCATTACAGAGATCATATGCTTTACTTGAAAGGAAAAAAGAAAACAGCCCCCACATGAAAATTCAAATCCAAAAACAAAAAAAATCAGGTTTTGCATGATAATGCTAATTCCCTCATCTCACTTCCAAAATGATACGAAAATGCCGATTTAAGACCAAAAAAACATGAGTTGACTACTTTTCTTCGCAGATGCAATGCAATCTTATGTTGCTGTGTTTTCCTCCTCCTTTCTCCTCACATCCATCTCTCCTGACAAAACATATTATAGTCACATCAAGATTTATCCCCAAATTCAAAATAAAGAAGAGAATTACACAGATTTGAAAACATTCCTCAAGTTATAGACCACTTACTTCAAGCAATTCTACAGTTGTAAGCATTGCACAGCTGGAGTAAAGCTGCTTGATTAGCTTCATCCAGATTGTCAAAAATAATCTGCGGGTAGCTACCAGGAGAAGCAGAAGAAAGCCTGGCCAAAGAAGCAACCAAGAACTGCTTCGGATCATTAATGTCTTTGAGAGGATCCTCCTCTTTTTTCCCAGCATTGTGAAGATTCACAAATGCAGCTGTGTATCCAACATTATCGGAGATTTCTGGCATTTCAGGTTCATCCACAGCTCTTTCCTGCTCAGGCCGTGAAACAAGTGTCACGATACTATCAAGCGTTTTACCCCAGAGTTTAGCAGCTGCTGGATCCAGAAGAGCTGGAGTCTCACATATGAGTCTTGTTGCAGCTACTGCAGTTAACTTGACCTCGATACTTCCCATGATCAGTTTCAGGTTCGGAATCCAGAAATGCTCCACGATAGTAGTGAAGATGTTCGGCTGAACAGTATTCATAGTGTCAACTAGATAAGCGGGTCCGTGCTTCACCAAGAAGAGGGACATGAATACTACTAGCGATTTCTGGAACTTGACCGTCTTTTTGTTTTGAAGGCGTGTGAATAGAGCACTCCATACACCCGTCATGTATGGTGCAATCACACTGTAGTCGAGATACTCAATAATCGTGTTAAGGATATAAAAGCCTTGCTCATCCGTGCTGGGTGATGAAACCAGCTTTTCGAATATCCCCAGCACTTGACTCAACCGATTCTCTTGAGTGACCTCATGAGGTGCTTTCTGCAGGAAAGCCTGCAGCAAACGCACAAGAGCTGGAACATTGCCGCTTCTCTTCCATGACTCTGGCGAGAGGAGCAGCAAGAAGATCTGCATGTAGTTCGGTGTGAGTGGTGGTCTGTTCAACTCAACAAGCTGAGCCAGCAGCTGAAACGCGTAAGGCAAGAACTCTGTGATATCATTGGCCAAAATAAACTCGAGGCTTGGGAAGAGGCTCTTCTCAAATGCAGATATAAGAGAACTATCACGTTCACATGCCCGTCGAACAAGTACGGCCACAGACTCAAAGATATAGTGGTTAAATGTAGGGTTTTTAGGGTTTTTGCAAACTTCACTGAGAACCAAGGTCAGTCCCCCGATGCAAGGTCCAGCAACCTCACCACTGATTTCAGCAACACCAAGTACCCGCATTATACACTTCATAAGATATTGATTCTCCTCAGACTCTGGAAACTTCAGTGCATCAAACAGGTTCGTCATCAACTGCAGCAAAAAGGGACTTATATCACTAGCGACATACCTATTCTTTCCACCTTCGTCCTTCACTAGCAATAACTTCTCTATACAGCTAGCCGCATATGAATGGACAACGTTTGACTCTGCTTTAAGGAATCGGACCAGCTCTGGGAACAACTGAATTGCAAAGGGCTTTGGTAGATGACTACGAAACATAGTTAAGAACTTCAAGGACCCTGCCTTTAGCATTGGAAAACTGTTGACGTCGTGGCTTTGTAGCTCGGGGAGAATAATGTTTGCAAAGAAGCTTTGCACATCAATGAGATCTGTAGACACAGACGCACCCCCTGCCTTCTTCGTAGCCAGAGAGACGACCAAGTATATTGCACAATCCTTATCTTTCCACTGTGCAGCCGGGTTTGTCGAAAAGGAACTCAAGAGATTCTGTATCTCAAGAGAAACTACTTCTGTCACTTGTCTTTTGTAGTTTGTGGCAAGTCCCTTAAGTAGCTCACAAGCTATTCTCCTTCTAGTGTCCACATCACTTCCCTCCATGTCTCTACGGATAAACTCTATATAGTTCATCTCGAAAAGTTCTTCATCTTCGTCCCTCAAAGAAACATTGGGAATCACAATGCTTTGGCAAATCTCCTTGATTACATTGTCACCTGCGAACAAAGCATGGTGCGCACTTGTGCTCACAGTGGTCAAAAACTTGATTGCCGTAGTAGCTAGCTGATCCCTACTAGGAGACTTTGACACATCTCGGAGTAATGTCCAGACAGCTGATGCAAAATCCTTCAAATAACCTTGGAATTCTTCTTCGTATTTCTCCATATACAGGTTAATATTCTCACAAACGGCAGAGCGAAGATCATCAACAAGTGTTAACCCATCTGCTGTGGCTTCCAAGGCAGGATAATTCGAGGATAAGCACTTCTTAAACACTCCCATCCACTCGTTCATATGATCCTCGAAAAACTCCGGCAAGTCCTGAAAGTTCAACGACAGAAAAATCCTGCAGCACAGCTTTTGCGACTCAAACAGAGGCTTAAGGATCGCGGCTGATCCACCAGAGCTCGCAACAGCAGAATCAATCAAAGAGTCCGTTTTCAGAAATACTTCTTGCAAGGGAGGAGCAAAGTTCTTCAGGCAGTACTTAATATCAGTAAACAGATCATTGGTTCTAAACTGATGCCTAAAGTTTTTGAAAATCGAATTAGCGGTCCCAAGAATACCATTGACGGACGCATAATCGCCGGCGAGGGCAGCTTTTTGAAGGCTGGAGGTAAGCTCGGGAAGCAAAGCAGGCCAAGATCTCGGGAAATCATGCTTACCAATGATGGCTAGGGCTTCGCTGAGCTGGCTCTGGATGCGAGGGGAAGAAGAAAGCATAAGGGAAACGATGAGTGTCTTGATCTGCTCCTTCTCCGAATCATTGATCGGTGAGATACCAGAATCCCCAGCAGGGAGCCATCGCGAACGGAGATGGTTCTTAAAGTTGACAGCAGCGGCGTGACGGGTCTGTTCATCGACTGAGGGTTCAGCCACCAGACGGAGGACGGCTAAGCCGTAGTTAGGCAGATCGGCGGCCTCCGATAACGATCTCTCAGCAGCACGACGAGGCTCCGGGACCGGAGAGAGCGTGTGGAGAAAACATTGCGACAGGAACTGGAGAGTCTCCGGATTCCACTCCATCTTTCTAGAAAAACTAGGGTTTATCCGACGATTTGAATCCGAGAAACTAGTGCTGCTGATATCGGACAACTATTCGATTAGGGCAGAGATCAAGCACGAGAGACGGCGAAGAGAGAGGCGAGTAGCTAGGGTTTCTGATTTCAAAAAGAGGGAAACGGAAGGATTTTATTTTCAAAGAGATGAGACATGAAAATTGGAAATATTGGCCGAAAAGTAAAAACTCCGACGAACTCATCGGTTTATCGGGTTCGGTTATACCCGACAAATAGAGAGAAAGATACTGCATTTAATGGGCTTTTGTTCATTCATTTAAGCCTATGTATCCAGTGGGCCGAACCCAATTAGTTTTTTTTTCTCTAAATTTTAACCTCACGATGTTAATATTTTGGTAAATTACCAGCGTTGATATTATTACTAGAGCAATTAATATGTACATCTATATTGTTTCTGGGCAAGAATTTCTGTCGGTGAAGCTTCTCGTTCCAGTATTAGTCCGTGTATTTAGATAAACCATAATAAATGTAAAAAGTTCTTAAAATTAAGTCATTTACCCTTTCTAAAACATGATAAATATCAAAGAAAACCAAAAAAAAGTGGCGTGAGGATAGAGTACGTGAAAACTCGTGCACGGCCACGGTGCATCGATGATCGACCTGATGATCTATAAAAAAAATAACTGATGATCTAAATAAGAAATGCCGATGGAACGACGACGTATTTCGTCGAACTTGTCTGAATAAAACCGTCAACGTCGGTCACGCTGGTCCAAAATATATCACGTTCTTTTGTCTTCAATTATAAAAAGTAGTAAGTATTGCCAAAACAAAGAGTTCCTTAGTCAAATAATTAATAATATATTGATGACGTTTTTTTTGGTTTTGTGTGTCTCCGGTGCTTATTTTAATTTAGTGTTGCCAAGGCCAAAAAGTATAAATAAGATAAATGCACAATTGCACACGAAGTTTTTGTTTTGTTTTTTTTTTGGAAAAGAAACGAATTTTTTGTTTCTTCTATAAAAACTAAAAATACTCGATAAATAGGTCCCTAAATTATTGAGTTAAACAAAAGACACTGACATAATAATCAAAATACAGAAACAATAACACTTGAATTGAGCTAGCTGAAAAATCGTGAACGAAGTGGTTAAATATATATGACATTCTCAAAATTAAATTCTACAGCGGGTCAAGACGACACCGAAGAGTCTGCTACATATTTGAGAGCATATCTGATGCAGGTCTCGAGGAGCTCTACGCCAACTTGATGCACACGAAGTTTTCACCTGAAAAAATTGTAGCAGAATAATTACAAAAGAAAAAAAGAAGCATGACATTATCTATAAGAATGTAATTAGCTTGATTTTTAAATTTTTACATATTGTTTATTAACAAGAAACATTACTTTTGTTATGCGCTTAGCATTTGTCACACGTGATACGTGCGAGATTATGATATTCAAGAAAAGGGGGCATGTGGCGCATGATGTATTTAGCCGTAATTAAAACACCAAAATAAAAACTTATATTGTCGATATCCACAGGGCCCATTGAAGCCCACGAAAAACGCGTGATGGATTAAAAGATTAGTTGCTTTGTGTTGACAAAAAAAAAAAGTTATTTAAGCCCCTTTTTCCCATCAACTATCAGATTTTTCCCGTAACTTCTTAATTCTCTTTTTACGTCTTAACCGCTACCGTTATTATCTCCTAAACCACAGCTTCAACGATTTTAATCGTTTAGTCATCGTTCATACGTTATACAAAAGTATTATTTATCAATTTAAAAATAAAATATGGAATAGTACTTTTATTTTTTCATAAATTAGCGGAAAACAATACGCGTATATAATTGAGGACAAAAAAAATGAATGCGAATTTTGAGGACAAAAAAAATGAATGCGAATTTTGAGGACAAAAGAAGTGAAACATGAGAAATCATTTTGATATGGTATAAATTTTTAATAAAGGCATGTGAGACAGGAGAAGTAGTTGTCTGTAATAAAGACCACCGTAGTAACGAGTGTCTCCACATGACCCCACATTTCTCCTCTCATTCGCTCTCTGCCATACGTTGATGGCCCCCCTACCCTCCTACTCTTATCCATTATTCTTACTTTATTTATTTCGTTGCATAATACAATATGTATATGTATGACTCGTAATGTAGTGCAAGATAAAATACTCCTTTTTTTTTGTTGAAAGAGAAATATAGTAAAAATAAATAAAAGATCCTCCTTGGTTGAGAATACAATTAAAAACAAAAATACTCCTTGTTTGTGAATACAATTAAAATACTCGCTATACTGGGGTCAGAGTTACAGGCTTGTTACACTTTTGCGAATGATTAATAATATTCGACTTCCTTGTTATATTGTATTTGTACCCATGTTTAACTTTAAAACTAAAAGAAATAAAATATAATACGTGTGAGTTCTTTATCCTGATGGTTGATAAACAAAACTGATGTAGTTTATTAAAATTTATTGTTTTATTAGAATCACAAATTAAATAACACTGGATTTAGTTAAAATTCTATTTATTTGTACGAAATACCGAAGTTGATTCCAAGACAAACAAAAAATATAAGATCGTCTTCTCTGAAAAGCTAAAAGGAGATTTGAGTGAAATTCAAAAGGCAAACCAAGATTGAAACAGTATCAAACGTATCTGTATTGAATTCATTTTTGTTTTCGCAACTAGCTAACTTGGTCCGAAGCTATACGTAAAACACGTATTTGGGTTATAGTACATACTCGTATTAATATGAGGTAGATGTTTGCTAAATCTAAAACGAAGAATTTCTTAGTTGGGGCGACTTCCACATTACTCAAAGAAACACCAATCATGGCGTTATCATCTTAACCTACAAAAAAAGGATCAAACCATGCATGTCTTATTGCACATCATGATACACCATATATCTTGATCGGTAGTCTTTGACTGCAGCGATTAATTAAGAATACCCGGTGACTCAACAATTGAATAAGTCAGATATTTGGCGAGCAATAAACCATTTAAATGATACTAATCACACGAGCCCAAATACAACCTGATTGATCGATTAAAAAGAAACGGTACAACACAAACGAAATGGTATCACCATCTATCTGTATCCCGTTATTTTATTATAACTTCTTAACAAATTAAAACAACATCACCATATGTATTGTACTGTTATCCATCTCTTACTACTATAGCTTTTCTAATAATTCTGTCATGCTATCCTATATTGTTAAACAACTTATATAATTTCATGTCATCATCAATCGAATCTATTGTGTAATATTGTATCCAATTAAACATATATGATTGTAATCTCATAATTGCTATCACAAACGATATATACTAATTATATTATGTTCACATATGTATGAAACTTGTATGCTGAAATAATATTTAGCATATATGTAGAATTGATAATGTGTATAATATTTATATTAATTTGACAACGGTATTTTTATATAGTTCATACTGAAATTTGGTGATAAATATGTACTTGAGTATTTATACGGAATTACTAATCTATATTATTTATTAATAACGTACTAAACGTAGTACAGTGCTTATGAAACGTGGAGAACTTATCAACGAAAATAATGATACCAAGGTTAATAAAAAAATGATAGCAGGGTACGATACCCAAGTTTGCAAAATACTTGAAATATCACCATATTTTATAATAACATTATCAAATCTACATATGTAGATCGGTGGTAAAAAAGAATCATCACATAAGACCATGACCATTTTGCATATTTTTTGAATATATTTGCCTATTTATTTGACACAAGTACGTTTATATTTCTATCTAGGAAGTTCAAGTATTATTTGAATCGGTAATTTCCTTTTTCAGGGACGAGTCTGTGATTCATCCTGAATGAGTCGACATTCTTTTCAAAGGGAAATTAGAGTAGAAGTCCTTAAAACACAATCACTAAAGGGTTTTAGTAAATAGTATTTTCACTTGGTTAAAGATATGTTTTTGATTATTATAATAAAGTATTCTCATGATACAAAGCTTAAAATTTTATAATAAAATTTAGTGTAGCAAACAATTAGAAGATTACAAACACATGAGGATAGAAAAGTAGGTTAAAGTCATCACATGTGCTCTCACGGAACGAGACTTTTTTTGTTGAACGTTACTGTTGGGCATGAGATTCACGCAAATCCTATGCGACAAAATAAATTTGTCTCAATATTTTAAAACTAAAGAAAAGTACTAGTATTACATATTGAATTAAAGGACTATTAATGAGAATAATAACACAGTCCAACCAATTAAATGGACCCACGTTAATAACGATGTCTGAAATAACCAACACCCCACCAAATTCAGACAATATTTTTTTGTTTTTCATGCATGTGACTTATTTTTATTCGTTGAGAAAAAATTAATACAAACGATTTAACTCAATTAGTCCTATTTGGTACAGGATAAATTTAAAATATGTAAAAAAATAAAGTAAAAAACCTTTCGACCATGTGATCTATAATATTTTTTTTCCTTTTTTATGGATGTGATATATACAAGACTTGTAGTACACACATATATATATATATATATATATTGAAATCTCACGTATTTACATACACGTGTGTATATAAACCATTATTATATACCTCTCTCTAATATTTACTAAATGCAAATATCATGATTCCTCAACTCAACGAACAATTTACCGTTAATGCATGATTTACTAAGATTTACTGCTGTTAATGAATCAAATGGATATGGTGACGAATTCAAAGATAATCGATAATTAGGGGTAAACAGATCAGTAAAGAGGATAAAGCTTGATTAATAAATTTTAATTTGCACAATAAACGAATAGAGATTCTGATTTATCTTGGGGCAATTATATTTATAGGACAAAAAAACTGTAGCGTTGTCCCCTTAGTACTTTTTCAAACTTGACCACTTTTAGATAAAAATACAATTTATTTATAATTACAAAAATTTTTAAAAAAATATTTTTATAATCTAAATTTTTTTGGAAAATTCTGGAAAAGGAAGACAAAGACATTTCATAACATATTTTTGCCAAAAAAATTTTAAAATTTTTTTTTACAAATGTTCTATGAATTAGTAGAAAGCACATTCTATAAATCTATAAATTTATAGAATAGACTATCTACTATTTCATTAGTTTTCTACTAAATATATAGAATTAATTATCTACAGTTTTTCTATGTTCTACAAAGTTATGAAACTGTATTCTACAACTTTTTTATTGTTCTACAGTTTAGTAGAATTATCTTTTTATAGTTATCTCTTTGTTCTACATCTTAATAGAATTGCATTTACGAAAACTCTTTGTTCTATAATTATAGAATACTTATTCTACAATTCGGTTAACTGAATCTCCGAAAATTTAGGATCAGATCTAGAGAATATATTTCTTTCTTTTTCGAATTATTTAATTTCCTAATTATTTTTTAAATTTTTTTATTTCTTTCCTAATCAGATCTAGACAATATATTTCTTTCCTTTTCGAATATATTTCTTTCTTTTTAAAATAAATTTTATATCATAAATTTTAATTAATATGGGTAAATTCGAATTAGAAGAATAGAAGGGGTTAAATTATTAGTAGAAGTATTAAGGAGACAAAATTTACTACATAAATAGTAGGGGGACTATGTTTATTTGTTCTATATTTTTAATTCTTTCATTTATCTTTGATCGGAAAGAAACAATCAAAGTAAGTGATCTTAAAATCAGGAAGTAAGAGTTTAAATTCACACATTAATCGGGTTTCTAATTCGAAACCAGGGAAACTCAACCATGGTTAACTTGATAACCCAAGTCTAATACGTGCATAAGTAACCATTGGGTTGGGTTTTAAAACAGCCTTCATACGCACGTACTTACCCCACTCCTCTCCTTGTCTCTTTCTCTCTCTAACTGTAGCTTCTTCAACCTCTTGTTTTCCTACTCTTTCTAGTTTAAAAAACTCATTCAATTCTTCAATTTTGTTCAAAAATCGAGGCTTTTACCAGTTTCTCTTGGTAAAGTCCTCGTTTTGATCGGAAACTATCTCTCCGGCGAGTGTTTTCTTAACCGGCACAGACTTCTGTTGAGCCTTGTTGATTTATTACCGGGTTCTCATTTTTTTTCCTGGTGGGTAATCTCTAATTTCTCCCATTTTCTCCTTTTTTCTCGAAATTTGAAGCTGGAGAGCCTCGGGTTTATATGGTTTCAAGCATCATCGAGCTCTGTAGCAGAAAGGAGCGGTTTTTTCGGTGTTTGTTATCTGAGATTTCAGAGTTTTTACGGTTTTGGAATTGGTGAGATTTGGTGTAAACGGGGAGATAGATAACTATGAATATGAGTGGTATGGGATGGGGCGATGAAGAGGAATCGGTGGTTAGTGCCGTTTTAGGGAATTTAGCTTCTGATTTTCTTAGAGCCAACTCAAATTCGAATCAGAATCTGTTTTTGGTTATGGGAACTGATGATACTCTGAACAAGAAGCTCTCTAGCCTCGTGGATTGTCCAAATTCGGAGAATTTCAGCTGGAACTACGCGATTTTCTGGCAACAAACCATGTCTAGATCCGGACATCAAGTCTTAGGTTGGGGAGATGGGTGTTGTCGAGAGCCTAACGAGGAAGAGGAATCAAAAGTGGTCAGGGTTTATAATTGCAACAGCCTTGGATTAGAGGAAGAGAGATGGGAAGACATGAGGAAGAGAGTGTTGCAGAAGCTTCATAGGTTGTTTGGTGGATCTGACGAAGACAATTATGCTTTGAGCTTAGAGAAAGTTACAGCTACTGAGATCTTCTTCTTAGCTTCCATGTATTTCTTCTTCAATCACGGAGAAGGAGGTCCTGGGAGGTGTTATGCTTCAGGGAAACATGTGTGGCTCTCTGATGCGGTTAACTCTGATTCTGATTACTGTTTCAGGTCTTTTATGGCGAAATCCGCGGGAATCAGAACGATCGTTATGGTTCCTACTGATGCTGGTGTTCTTGAGCTTGGTTCTGTTTGGTCTTTGCCTGAGAATGTTGACTTGGTTAGGTCTGTTCAAGCTTTGTTCATGAGGAGAGTCAAGCCGCCTTTGATGGTGAATTCAACAAACACAAACATGAGTGGAGGAGGGATTCACAAGCTCTTCGGGAAGGAGTTGAACAACTCGGAACAGGGATCTCATCACGCGTTTCCTAGGAAACTCGATGTGATCAGAAATGTGGATGAGAGGTTCACTCCTCAAATTTGGCAAGGGTATAACAATAAAGGTTCAACATTTGGTTACACACCTCAGAGAGTAGATGTGAAAGTGCAAGAGAATGTGAACGTTGTTGTAGACGATAACAATTACAAGATGCAGATCCAGTTTGCTGGATCGTCCGTGGCAGCTTCTTCCAATCCATCTACAAACACTCATTTGGAAAAGTCAGGTTCTTGTACCGAGAAAAGACCAGCAAGCTTGTTATTAGCAGGAGGAGCAGGAACAGCTTCTGTTGCTGACGACAAGAGACCGAGGAAGCGAGGAAGAAAGCCTGCAAATGGAAGAGAAGAGCCATTGAACCATGTGGAAGCTGAGAGGCAGAGACGCGAGAAGCTTAACCAGAGATTCTACGCTCTACGCTCAGTTGTTCCAAACATTTCTAAAATGGACAAAGCTTCTCTTCTTGGGGACGCGATCTCTTACATCAAAGAGCTTCAAGAGAAAGTAAAGATCATGGAAGCCGAAAGAGTAAGAACAGAGAGCAGCTTATCGGAATCAGACCAGATGACCACAAGGACAGTAGAAAGTCCAGAAGTTGACATTCAAGCTGCCAAGGAAGAGGTTGTTGTAAGAGTAACCTCACCGTTGGATTCACATCCAGCTTCAAGAATCATACAAGCAATGAGAAACTCAGAGGTTAGTCTAATGGAGTCTAAGTTATCATTAGCCGACGACACAATGTTTCACACTTTTGTGATAAAGTCTAACAACGGCTCGGATCCATTGACGAAAGAGAAGCTTATAGCAGCGGTTTACCCGCAAACCAGCTCCATGCAGCAGCCATTACCGTCTTCTAGTTCGCAGGTTTCTGGTGATAACTAGCTTTCACCTAGAAATAGATAAATTCTTTTTCTTTCTTTCTTAGTTTGAAAGGAATCCAGTTTTCGTATACATATATATTTACCATTTTACTAACGTACTATACATATGGATCATTTAATAAGTCATTAACACGCTTATTTGTATCTTGGGAATATTTTCTCAGTATTTTTCCAGTTTAAGATAATCAAATAAAAATCTACTGTTTTTGTCTATCTAAATCATGTGGCATATGTAATGTGTTTGTCTAAATATCTTATTTATGTATCCATGGTATCTGGGATCTTTGCCACTGCATAGTCCTTCACTATGTAAATATCTGTGAATTCGTTTAGATTGCAGATAACATTGTAAATCATAACTTTTGCAAATTGTAATAGGGTAACTATCTCGTATTATACAATTCAAACATGATTGTTAAAATCTTATATAACTACCTCACTCATTAATAAACCAATGTTATAATTACACCTATACTTAATTTCACCTTTAGTAATAATATCTCTGTCACTCTCACAAATAGTCTAGTCTTATCGTTTCCATGATCCTCTGGTTTTGTCATAAATTGGTTGCATTGCACCATTTCCTTTGTCATTTCATTTTCTATTTTGGGCTTCTAGTAGTTGTGAAAAGCCCATATAAAAAGCCCAACTCCTTCGATGCTTCTCTCTCATCAGCTCTGATCGAATTACATTCTTCAACTTAGGTTTTTTTTGTTCTCTCCGATCAGATCCACCAGTTGCAAGGAGAAAGGTGAAACTGAAATTCTCAACACCTTCCTTACCCGGCCGATCTCTATTCCGCCGCGATGTCTCTCCGCCGATCTGTGCTCGGTCTCCACCGCCAAACCCACAACCTGTCTCTCTCAAAGTCTTTTCCTTTCTCGGTGAGTAATGTCTCCTCCCCTTCCGCATCCGCCGTCTCTGCCGCCTCCGCCGCCTCCGCCGCCGTGAGAAACCCAATTGGAAGAGACCTCTCCTCGATCGCCTTTGCCCTATCCCAGAAACTGAAAACGGAATCTGGGAATCTCGTCACCGATCGTTCGATTTCTTCCATTGGGCAATCTAATCTCGGCAGGGCAACGAACTTGTCTCGTCTCCAATCTTCTCGAGGTTACAGTAACGCACCTTCCTTACCGAAAATCCATTTACTGTATCACATAAATGAAGGAATGGAAGAAATTTTGGCGGATTATGTTCACCAAGAAATGACCCGGAATTTGATGGTGATCTCTTTGGGATTGTTCCAGTTTATCGTTCTCAAAGATGTTTTCTTGTTTCTGTTCTTCTGAACAAGAAAACATCTCTTGGAATAGTGACCCAAAAAATGCTTCCTTTATTCTTCATCTTTTTCTATGAATAAGAACATCGATGCAAGCGCATCCTAACCTTGAAGCTTCCTTGTGTTGGTTCAGTATGTGCAAGGATTTAGTTATATTCGCTAAGTGTGTTTGATGCATGTTTTCTTTCCTGTTTTCGAGTCGGGAGTATGTTTCTAAGGGGATATTAAGACTCTCTCTGTTAAGCTTTGGATTGAATAATAAAGAGAAGTTTTCTCAGCTCTCTTCTTTGTAATTTCATCAAATTTGTGATCTGAGTTGAGCGTAATTATTCTTACCTGGTGAGTATTTGTTATCTATTGATCCCATTTCGGCTTTTATGACTCACGATGTAGCTTACTTGAATCTGAGACTCTGGGTTTATATGGTTCTGAGCCTCATAGGAAACTCTTCTGGATCGATTTAGTTCTGTAGTAGAAAGTTTGGGTTTTCTCTGAGTATAAATATTGTATCGAATCTGAGAGGTTTTGCTGGTTTTGGATTTTGGTGTGATCTGGGAGATAATAAAAGCGATGGGAGACTTTCAATGAAGTCATAACAGAGAATTCCTCGGTATTACTTTGATCAATCATGAGATTCCTGAGAAATAAGCTATCAAAAATTGAGTCTCAAATGTTTATGAACAAATTTTCCATGCTTGTGTGTTTACAGCTGAAACGTTGATTAGGGCAGAGATCTGAACATCTTTCGAGTTAATGAATATATCTTCTTGTTCCTAACCGGATAGGGGGTTCTCCCGCGTAAAGTGACATTTTTATGTTAAATAGTTTCAACGATTGTTCACAAATCCTAATTGAGAGAAGCTTAATGAATATCCTTTGAACGATGCAACTCTACTCATTATCAACCTCGACTCTTTCCAGTTGTACCACAACCTGCAAACTTCAACGCCAAACAATATATTCTTTACTATTAAAAAAATTAACATTCGACACTCTGTTTTATTAAGGGTTTTCCCGGTTTTATTCAATTCCTTTTTTTCTATTCACGTACAAGGTAGAATAGGTTTCGACTACACTCGTCGAAAAAAATAAATAAACAAAAAGGTTTCGACTACATTTTATTAATGGACATCCAAAAGGCCCAACTCTAAAACTGACGGTCCATAAGAATAACATTTTCATTGAGGCGACCGGGTCAGTGACTTTATTATTTTCTAAACCGGTTATTTGTCAATCAACGATTGCACCCCCAAGTCTCTGGCTTGGTTTCCACTCCAAGTTAAAAAAAAAAAAATCTACCGTCACCAGATACATAATATGGTAAAAAATGGAGTATAAGAATAAAGAGGTAACTGCCCTACACCTTTGACAAAAATAAGAGTAAACTTTCTTATACGCGTCACTACACAAACGAGGTGGAGACACGTGTCATTCCTCCACTTTCCCTTTGAAAAACCCCTCTCTCTCTCTCTCTCTCTCTCTCTCTCTCTGAAGTCTTCTTTGACCCTTGTTTCCGGAGCTGCGAATGCTTTGTACGCCATTGGTTTAACCCTAAGCTCTCAGATTTTTGCTATTATTGGATCCTCCTTAAAGCTCCACGTCTTGTCCCCATTCGCTCTTTGGTTCTTTCCTTCTGGTAAGAATCCGCTCTCTTTTATGGTACGTCATCGATTGCTTCTTGTCCCTTTTTTTTTTCCTTGTTCTTCTTCTTCAGCCGGATTTTTGATTTGTGAGGGTGATTCGTCAAATTCACCTCTAGCGAGTCAAGACCGATCCCTGATCTGTTTGGATTTGATCTGTTTTTTTCTCTGTTCTAGGGCTTGTTGTTGTTGGTTTTCTGAAAGGAGGAGCTATGGATTTGGTATTTTAGGGGCTATATCGGTTTGGTGTATATAGCGAGGGATTTTGTGCGAAAAAATCCTGTTTTTTTGCTTTCCCGGTTAAAAGTTGGTCGATTCTTGAATCCTTGAGAGAAAGATGTCATCAGCTGGTGTTACGCTAAGTCCGGTTCGTAGCGAGGCGTTCAATATGCCCCTGGTTCGTGCGAATTCTTGTGCGGATTCTTACCCAGACGAGACCATTTTGATCTACCTTACACTCCCCGGAACGTTGATACCGATGCGAGTGCTCGAGTCTGATTCCATTGAATCTGTTAAGCTCCGGATTCAGTCTTATCGTGGGTTTGTTGTGAGGAATCAGAAACTCGTTTTCGGGGGACGAGAGCTAGCTAGGAGCAACTCCAACATGCGTGATTACGGTGTCACTGAAGGCAACGTTCTTCATTTGGTTCTCAAGCTCTCTGATCTCCAGGTCCTTGATGTTAAGACCGCCTGTGGGAGACACTGCCGGTTTCATGTGGAGAGAGGGAGAAACATTGGGTATGTGAAGAAGCAGATTTCGAAAAAACGTGGAGACTTTGTTGATCCTGATGAGCAAGAGATACTTTACGAAGGTGAGAAGTTGGAGGACCAGAGTCTTATTAATGACATCTGCAGAAATGATGACTCTGTCTTGCATCTCCTTGTGCGGAGGTCTGCAAAAGTTCGAGCTAAGCCCGTGGAGAAGAACTTTGAATTGTCGATTGTTGCCCCACAAGCTAATGATGTGTCACCAAGGAAGCCTTCTGGTCACTTTTCTTTGGAGCCGGTCATCGTTAATTCCAAGGCAAAGCTTCCTCTGGTGGTCAAAGATATGATTCACTCTGCTTCTGATGGGCTAAGAAACGGGAATCCTCCAGTCAGGTCAAGAGAAGGCACAGGTGGAGCTTATTTCATGCAAGGTTCGTCAGGCAATAAATTTGTTGGTGTTTTTAAGCCAATCGATGAAGAACCCATGGCTGAAAACAATCCACAAGGCTTACCACTTTCACCAACTGGGGAAGGTTTGAAGAAAGGAACAAAGGTTGGAGAAGGTGCATTGAGGGAAGTCGCTGCCTACCTATTGGATCATCCCAAAAGTGGACGACGATCTATGTTTGGTGAAGAGAGAGGTTTTGCTGGTGTGCCTCCCACGTCTATGATTGAATGTCTACATCCTGCTTTTAACCATCGCAATGGAATCAAAACCAAGATTGGTTCACTTCAGATGTTTACCGAGAATAATGGCAGCTGTGAAGATATGGGTCCAACTTCATTTCCAGTAGAAGAAGTTCACAAGATTTCTGTGCTAGATATTAGATTGGCAAACGCAGATAGGCATGGTGGTAACATTTTGATGAGCAAGGATGAAAATGGAAAGATTGTTTTGGTTCCAATTGATCATGGATACTGCTTGCCTGAAAGCGTAAGTTCTCTGCTATCTTCTTAGATTTTTTTTTGTTTTTTAATACCTTTTTACGCCATTGCAATGAATCTGATTTTTTTGTTGTGTGTGTTTCGTGCAACAGTTTGAGGATTGCACGTTCGAGTGGCTTTACTGGCCACAAGCTCGGAAACCATATTCTCCGGAAACACTGGACTACATAAGATCACTGGACGCCGAGGAAGATATCGAACTCTTGAAGTTCCATGGATGGAAAATGCCATTGGAAACAGCTCGAACACTGAGGATCTCAACGATGCTTCTGAAGAAAGGAGTAGAAAGAGGACTAACAGCATTTGAGATTGGAAACATAATGTGCAGAGAAACTCTGAGCAAGAAATCTCTAGTGGAGGAGATGGTCGAGGAAGCACAGGAAGCGGTGCTTCCATGGACGAGCGAGGCTGCATTCCTTGAAGCTTTGTCTGATGTGATGAATTACCGTCTTGATGAGGTGGTTTGCTCTCAGGAACACTAGAACTGGTTCCTGTGTGAATCCTTCTCTTAACTGAAAATCTGGTACATATACTCTTGGTTTAAACCTGGTGGCTTTTGTTTTTTTTTTATTGATGTCATTCTTTGGACATGTTCAAGTTGTTTGTTGATTTCACCGTGACATATCTCTGGTAATGACAATTTCAGTGTTTACAGTAGCTATCTCACAAACCACAAGTAGAGATTTCTCTGATAAAATAAGTGGAGGTGCGGGGAATCGAACCCCGTGCCTCTCGCATGCGAAGCTCTACCATATGAGCTACTCCCCCTTGACGCCAACTTCGACATGTTGTTTTATCGGCATTTTCAGATTGAATAAAGAAATCATGAATGATGTTTTCATTTCACAGTTATAATTTTCTGAACTGCTAGATTAATTATGTTTTATTCTTCTCTAAGTATACGTCTGTTCAAATGTTCTCATTGAATACTAATTAAACCCTTAACATGTCTCCATTCAATTTTCTAACAATTGTTTTGTAGTGACTAGCGAGCATCATCTAAAGAGAATAGGTACGACCTTTCTCTAGATCCTCCGACTATAATATTCTTAGTCGAAACCAACAAAATAAATATTGTTATCTTAAAAATAGGGAACCCTCCAACTATTGATTGATATTAAGTTGTGATAACACAAGTATTCGTGTCCCTCCCTTAGTACCAAAACCACAATATGACTTTGTCAAAACAAATTTTCCTTTTCCTCTACCTCTTCCCTCTCTTACACGCTTCGCACCCAAAAGAATGTTCTTCTTCCACATGTGGTCACGATGATGTCCATGTCCGTTTCCCTTTCTGGCTACTCTCGAAACAGCCTGAATTCTGTGGCCACGCAGGATTCGCTCTCCACTGCAAAACTACTAGTCACAAGACAGCTCTCAAGCTCCCCAAGTCCGGAGAGTTTATTGTCCGAGAGATCGACTATACAAGACAGCAGATTCGTCTCTATGACCCTGAGAATTGCTTGGCAAGAAAGCTTCTGAGCTTTGACGTTTCGGGATCTCCCTTCTCTGCTCTCTACCTTGTCAACTACACGTTCTTGAGCTGTCCTAACGAGGTTGCTAAGTCTTCGTCCGGGTTTGACTCCATCCCATGTCTTGGGAATTCTACGTCCTCGTTTTTGGCTACAACTAGTTTTGATCTCGCGAAATCTATGCTGCCTTCTTGTCAGATTATCAAGACGTTAGCTCTTCCGGTTTCTCGGCCGGTTGTTGCCGAGAAATCAAGATTCTCGACTAATGTCAACGATAAGGACCTTTGGCTGAAATGGGATTCTCCAAGTTGTAGCGATTGTGAAAGGGATCATTTGAGATGTGGATTCATAACCAATGCTTCCCTTGAAGTCAAATGCTTCCCTTTTGAAAAATCCGGTACGAATTACTCCAATATTCATTCTCTTATATTAGAATGTCCATTAATTTGTAAATGAAAACGAAGAATAAGTTGACTTTGTCGAACACTTCAAATCGAAGGAATCGTTGGATTTTTTTTTAGGTTCTTCAAATAATTATCCACTGATTAAATTAAACAACTAGTAGGCATTACATTTAACAGTTAGCCATTGACTATTGATTAACTAATTGTTAAATCACATTTTTCAGACGATCCAATCCAATCTTATGAGTTATGACATCACATCACACGCTAGAACGCCGTACTCCGTATATAATAAAACCTTATATAATATACGGCTGTGGAATAATAAGTTCATGGCTGGTTAATAAAAAATTTGACCTTTATTTTGAAAACGTATTTTGGCAGGCCATAACAACACGGGATTACAAGTGATTAAAATTATAAGCCTGGCCATAATCGGACCGGTCACAATCTTGGCCACTTGTATTGCTATAGGAGTTTGCACATCCGAGAGATTCACTTCCCGGAGACGACGAAACGTGGCTATCGCGGCGGCTCAGACAAACGGGGTTCTAGTCACGAATGGTCTTGACGATTCTACAATAGAATCATACAAGAAAATGGAGTTAGGAGAGAGTAGAAGATTACCGGGAATTAACGATGATATTAATTGTCCCATATGTCTATCGGAGTACGCGAGCAAAGAGACCGTGCGGTGCATACCTGAATGTGATCATTGCTTCCACGCTGGATGTATAGATGCGTGGCTCAAGATTCATGGTTCGTGTCCTCTCTGTCGGAATTCGCCTTCTCCTGCGCCTGAAGCTGTCTGAAATGTTTAAGAATCTATATACATAGATAAAACCATTTACTTGTAGAAAAAGAAATAATCAAAATTGAGTTTATGGCGGTGTACATTAACAACTCAGGTTATTTGTGTTTTAGTGTTGTTTCATTTATAATTTAGATGTTGGGTCCTAACAGGTGATGTAGCTGTCTGAATAACAAGTAATTAAAACTAATTACTCTGTTTTCGATAAACATATGTGAACGTTTCTAGGGAGTAAAGATATATGTTCTTAAGGGACTAATGATATTATTTAATAGTATGTCCAACTGTTTATCCGAGAACGCGAGGAGAGAGATTTCATTTTACGGTGCATATCGGAATGAGATTAGTCGATGGATTTGTCCGGCCCATGACATTGCCTAAAATGTTAAAAGATAACATTGATCCCAACACATTGAATTGACCCTATGAATGTCGGACTCACAAAATTTCCAAATTCCAAGTCATTTCTATAGTGATCTTAATCAGAACAAAAAAATTTGTTGTGCAATGAAAGTGACTTTAAGAACAAAAGAAACCATCACAGAGGCTAATTACAATTCAACTACGAATTTATAGAATGGAATTTAATATTGCCAAACAAACAAAAACACGAATTAAAATCGAAAAATGAAACCCTTCAAAGTTTGATTTTTGTTTCGGAAGAAAAGATACAAGACAATGGCGACACTCACAATATTATGAAGAAAATTGATTAAACGGGGGAGATTAGCAGTTAACAAAATGTGGAAAATGAATCATCAATGATCAAACATCTTCACCTTCGTCAATGGTCCATCCAAGCTGACGTTGATGATGAGATCTGCTCGGATCCTCCAACGAAGCAGCATCCACCGTTGTTAAATCGGAGAGCGAAGCCAGGGTTGTGAGAGAAGAAGACGAAGAAAGCGATTGGAGATTAGACGAAGACGACGAGGAAGGGAAATTCATAGCCAGGATGTTTCCTTCGCTCCAAGATCTTCGGATCGGGAACGATATGCTCTCTGAGCTTCCGTGTCGGCGGCAGGACGTCCGCCTCTTATTTTGACTTTTTCCACCGCCGCGTGATCCGTCGTGAAGCGCGCATCCGCAGTTTTTGTGGTAAGGACGCCTCTCGATGGCCGAATCGAGGCCGGAGATACAGCCTTCGAAGATGCATCGGAATATTCCGTCGGCGGCCATCGTTGGCTGATTGATTGAGACCCGGTGGAGAAAAAAGGATCTGAATCTAACACGAAACTCTGATTTCAACTCTTTATGCCAGATTTTCTGTAAATTATTATTATTAGTTCCAGGCGCAGCCAGGTGTAGGTTTAATGGGCCCAACTACAAACCTTGAAACGACGTCGCAGGCAAAATATCTTATTAGTTAAAACGATGCCGTTAGGATTCTTGATCCCTTGTACAGTATCTCAGCTAGTTTTTTTCTAGCAAAACAACTTTAACATAAAAGAATCTCTCTCAATTCTTCTTCTTTCGGTCCTTGAGTTGTCTCTCCAGTGTTCTGATTCTCTGATTCAGAACTGAACTCCGTGAGATTCTTCTACCTGGAGCACTTGAAGATGATGACTCAGAGGAGGGCATAGGAGGATTTTCTTGAACATCGCTTTGGTCTTTTGGCTGCGTAAAGGAAAATGGCATAGGCGAAGCCGGTGATGGCTGCCTAGTCGAAGAGATGATAACATCTGGGAGATTCAAGAGCTTCCTCACATCAGGTCGTCTTATTGCTGCATATAGATTACACACACAAGCAAATTAATGTCATTCTTTCGGGCTCGCAAATATCACCAACGATTAAAGATCCTGTGGAAAGAGATATCAATGTTTAGTGGACTTGCCTAATCCATACCCAAGAGTAAACAGGTTGGAAGTGAGCCAGTAACAGAACAATGCCTGAAGAAACAATCATTCCTTTGGGGTAAGCGGAAACATAATCTATTTTTTTTTTACCTCTTCAATGCTTATCAACATCAAAGCTTCAACAGAGGAATAGTAATATTTACCTTTTCAATGCCTATCAAAACTGGAATAGAGAGAAAGGCAATGATTCTTGAGAATTTCTTCATCGTTCCAGCTACTGGATTTCCTTCCACACCTTCTTGCATGTTGGACTACAGAAAAAGATAAAGATACAAGAAGACTTGCAATAAATATATAAGGTCTGAAAATAACGACTACCAAAAGTAACAGAGATAAAGTAGTCGAGAAGCTTCGATATTTTAAATACGGTTACAAGTTAGTAGAACTCTGTTTTTTTCTTTTAGCTCAATCTATCAACTAATTTTATAAATGAAATAATAAACGCGTCATTCAAACTCAGCTAAAAATTTTGATGGATCTGAATCAAACGAAAAACATTCATTATAGAGGAGGCAAAGACAACAATAAAGCATATACAAATCTCCTACCTCCACCATAATCAAGAAAGTCACTGCGGTTAGAAGTGGCAAGATATATGTAGTATCTGCAGAGGTGAGATCAGTAAACCAAAGTGTTCCACCAGTTTTAAATGATGGAACTTTCTCGGCCATATTCCTGATCTGTAGATAATAATCAATTAACACATAGAAAATAATGATCAGTGTCAACTATAAAAGATAAAAACTATGTATATCTTACCGCAAAGAAAAAGCTGATGAAGATGGGACCTTGAATAATAAGTCCTTTGAGGGGAGTAAATGGAGTTACTCCATGCCTAAAAGCCAATCCAGAAAACAATAAATGCATATCAGCAAAGGGGGAGCTAGTAGTAAGTCTAACTTGAAGAAACAATATAATTGGACTTACTGTTTAAACAATAATTGCATCCGTCTTTGACCTTCTGCCATGGCTTCAGGATCCGAAGCCTAAAACACATAACAACACATGCAAAAAGTCATAACCACGACACTATAGGAACCTGCTCAATATCAGAATAGAGGTCAAGACAAGTAGTAATTAGAAAATCTAGGTGGAACTTAATAAACAAATTCTCTCAACCAAACAGAAAACTCACAAACTCACAAAGGGTCACATGCACACAAAGAACAAGTAAGACAAGGAGCAGGAACAGCTTGTACCTTAGTGCTCATCTCTTGTCTTAACTCCTCCAGTTGTGGCCTCAGAGCCTGCAAGAACATGATAGGTAAATCACAAGTCGAAAAGAGGCATATCCTAATGTATGAAAAGTATACTCGGAGAAAGAAAAAAAATCTAAAACTGACATTGAGTTTGTAAGTAGCCTTTAGTTGATTCAAAAGAATGGGAACTGTAACCCCACGAATGATCACAGTTGTCAAAGCTATCGAAGCCCACCTACAAAAAGAAAAAAAAAAAAACAATTTACCACGGATACATACAAAACAGAAACCGAGTAAAACGAGTATATATATACATATACCAGTTCAGGCCAGTAAATGAATGCACACCATCGATCAAATGCTGCAAAGCAGCAACAGGAAAAACAGAGTCCGCAGCTGCAATAGCAACCTCGTTTATAGCAGGAACAGCTTGGCTTGTCGTCACAGATTCGATGATTTGATCGGGAACAACTTCCGTAGCCGCCACAAAGTCGATACCATCAACTTTATCAGACCATTCCGGTGGTGTAGAACTCATATACCGACACGAAGACAATCCAAGACCCAACGGCCCATAAAATGACTGGTAATGCCTCTCCGTAAACATAGAGCTAAGCTTGTTAGCCCCGTTATTTGCTTTACGAATCATTGTATCCGGATTTGGAGAAGCGGATCTAGTTTCATCTTTATCATCACCAATCAGATGACCACACGATGGATAAACTCGTCTCTGTAAGAGGTTCACTCTCTTCGATATGCCACGCAAGCAAGCCATTATGAAGATCCTGCTAAAAGGGAGTTGTCACTTAACAATGTATTGAGAGTAACAACAACAGAAAGAACACTAGAGGATCGAAACAAGAACTAGTCTAATAAGTTACTCATTACAACAGAATCACATCAATGGAAACGAGTAATCCTCAAATTCCTGCTTTAACTTCTACAGATTAGCCTCAACCTGGTCCCTTTCTAACACTTCCATTTCAGAGTTTCACAGCATTTTCTCGAGAAAAAAGAAAGCGTAGGAAACAGAAATGATACCTGACCGAGAGATACACAGAGGTTTTGAAACCAACACAGCTCCGCTGAGTCGACTCGACTCCAAGTCTTAGGGCGAAGACCTGAGAGAGAAAGATCAAAAGCTTCGCGTTTCTTTCTACCTGACGGCCATCGGAATAGAAAACGCACCGTTTCATCTCTCAACACAACACGTTTCATCTATCTAAAAGACTAAAATTAAAAGGCTTCACATTTTCCTAGCAATATATTGGGCTTTTTAGGCCCAATAAAGGCCTTGAATAATAATAATAATAATAGCATAGCTACCTAAAAATGGCAAGTACTTTACAAAATTGGCGGAAAGCAGAGTTCGTAGAGTTACAAATTTGTGAAAGTAGTCTAGTTGAAAAATCTGGTAAAGCTCGTTACTTTGGCCATGTCCTTTCTGCTTCTAAGTGGGGAAGCCGATTATGAGTCTCGTTTTTAGGGGGAAAACTTAGGGTTTCTCTCTTTTCTCAAAATTTGGGGAAAATCTCATCATAACATTTCTTTCTGTCTAGATTCTGCTTACGAGAGAAATCTTGCTTTTACTATTTGTGTATGAATCACCTCTAGAAATGGCTTGTCTCCGTAGCTTCTCAAGGAGAAATCTCTCCCCAAAATGGTTTTGCATGACCTCAAGCCCTGCTGTTCTTCATCATATCAAAGATTATACCGAATCCAGTTTATCGGATCCAAGTCTTCTGATTCGTAGATTTCACAGGCAAGTTTTCTTTGAAGATAGAACGAAAATGTCTTTTGCTCAGCCAGTGAGTTCTGGAGTATTGCTATGTAGAAGACACATGTCTTCTTCTTCTAGCAAACCAGAAGAATCGTGCATAAAGATTGATGCTTTTGGAAATGGTGTTGAGGAACTTGTACCTGAGAAATCTGTGGAAGCAATTGCCACTAAAGTCTCTATTATAGATGAGTGTAATTCAGCAATTGAGAATCTTTCTTTCCCTGAGGACTGCGTGCAGTATGTGATTAATGGAATCCATGAGCTTACAGGCTTCAATTGGTATCGATCGATTACATTGTTTTGTTATTGCTTGATGGTTACTTTCTTGAGGTGGTTGAGTTGTTTCCACTCTTTGTATAGGTGGATTTCAATTGTTCTTACCGCTTTTCTGGTTAACGGACTCATGTTACCACTCTCTGTGCGGCTTGGGCGACTAGCTTGGGAAATACAAGTTAGTTTCTTGTGTGCTTTCTCATTGAATTTCTTTTGCAAGTTTGCTTTTGAAGGTCAATTCTATGTTTTTCTTTTGTAAACTAGGTTTTGAATAGGAGCATTCAGAAGGTGAAGAAAGTGATACAGACTTGTGATCCTAAAGCTCTTGCTAAATACAAAAGATGGGAAGCTGAGTGCACGGAAAAGTGAGTATCCTTACACAATTCCATTGTTCCCAAACAATGAATGTCTCTCTTTGACTTGTTCTAACTTTCTCTCTGTGGATCAATTATCACGTCAGATTTCGAGAAAGTTGCTTGTCTTTCCTGAAACTAAGCTTTCCTAATGTTTTCATCACCGTCAGCTTCATCAATGGGGTAAAAGGATAATGAAATTTTCTTTTTGGGCGCCAGTGTTTTCACTCTTGCTTACTGACTCACTGTCTATTTTCGAAACAGATAAGTGCCATGGCTAAGAAGATCCCAGGGTTTGAAAATGGTGGAATCTTGTGGTTCACTGATCTTTCCACTCCAGACAACTTCTCCTTTTTACCTCTAGTGACAGGCTTAATTTTCTGGCTGACATCAGAGGTTTGAATGGTTAAATATGATGTTTAGAGAAAAAAACTGAAATTAATATGGTTTGATACATAATCCTAACTAACTTTGAGATCTCGGTTTTGATAGACCTCTCCCTTAAGCCGGAAAAATCTTTTAATCAGAATGAAGAAACTCCCTTTGGTTACCATTATCTTCATCGTACTCCAAGATACATATGGATATGAACCGGTAAAGCTATGCTCTTAGAGCTTTGATCTTTACCATTGTCTTGAATCTTGTGGCGCCTCTCAGTTTTATGTTTTTTGCAGGCTGTCTACTTTTTACGTGATCTATATATCTACACATGTTTCCTGAGTAAGTCCCTCTCTCTAGATAAACTCTTATATTGCAGAATATACAACTTCCTTACTTCTCTCTCTCTCTCTCTCTTGTTCAATCTAAAACACTTTACTCTCTTTTTTTCCCCTCAAATAGTGCTGAGATCCAAGCAGATAGTAGAGTTGAGAAGGAGACTGGGGTGGCCATTTGTTCCAGTAACGGCCTCTGGGCAGCAAAGGATCATGGCGAGAGTGATAAGTCTTATGAGAGAAATTATTAACGTGGTGAGGAAGAAAGACAAGAAGTGAATCTTTTTTTGCTCTCTTGGCCTCTCTGCCTTTGTCTTCGAATCAAGGCTACTTGAATCCTCTGTTTCATGTCCAACTTATGGTAGCTCTTAGAGCAGACTTGACTTAGAAACAGCAATCTATCTACTTCTGCGAATTTACAAGTATTAATTGAAACCCACATGTTAGATTTTAAAATCAATGGACACGAGTAATCATCAAGTTCCTGCTTTAACTTCTACAGATTAGCCTCAACCTGGTCCCTTCTAACACTTCCATTTCAGAGTTTCACAGCATTTTCTCGAGAAACCAGAAATTGTTGGAAACTGAAAAAAATACCTGACCGATAGATACAAAGAGGTTTTTGAAACCACCACAGCTCGGCTAAGTCGACTCCAAGACTCCAAGTCTTAGGGCGAAGACCTGAGAAAGAGAGAGAGAGAGAGAGAGAGAGAGAGAGAGAGAGAGAGAGAGAGAGAGAGAGAGAGAGAGAGAGAGAGAGAGAGAGAGAGAGAGAGAGAGAGAGAGAGAGAGAGAGAGAGAGAGAGAGAGAGAGAGAGAGAGAGAGAGAGAGAGAGAGAGAGAGAGAGATGAAAGCTTCGCGTTTCTTTCTACCTGACGGCCATCGGAACCAAAAACGCACCGTTTCATCTCTCAACAACACGTTTTCATCTATTTAAAACTAAAAGGCTTCACATTTTCCTAGTAATAACTTGGGCTTTTTAGGCCTACTAAAGGCCATGAATCCACTGTGGTTTTATACTTTTATTATCTTGTTTAATGATTAATTAAATATAGCTAAACCAAATTTCGAATAATTTTAACAAGAGTGAATTAAGTCAATATTAATAGATAATTGAAAAATTAGTTATATACAATTGATAACTTGTAAATTAGTTAAGTATGAAAGAGAGAAAAATTGTAAACCAAAAATATCCTTAGTATTCAAAATAATTACAAAAATGCTATAAGTCTGAAATTTTATTTTCTGGTCAATCATGTTGGAAACACTGTTCATCCACTGATCGGAGATACTATCCATGAAAAGATCGATGACACTATTCATCACGGAAAACATGATAACCAAAATTAAAATAATGACAATTATTTTGTTAACATGTTATGTAGAATGTTAGCATAGTTAACATGATAACAATTATAATAATATGGTATATAGATATTAACGTGCTAACAAAAATATACGATACTTATAATGTGTTAACAATATTATCCGTTACTTGTAACATGTTAACGTATAAAATATTTGAATAATATTACGTTAATTCAGTTATCATATCAAAGTTATACAAAATTATCCTGATAACTAATTTCGTTATTGATAACCTCAGAATGTTTGATTACATAAAGTTATAAACATCCTGAATATCCATAAACATAATCATTGTTGCCAACATCCACTTCAACCATTTTTCACCCTGTGTGTTTTTCTTCTCCCCTCTTTTTCTCTTACTTTCTTCTTCTTTTTCTTTTTTACCATTTTTCACCGTCTTCTTCTCCTCTCTTTCTCTCTTTCTTTCTTCTTCTTTTTTATTTGCACCATTTTTCACCATGTGTGTTTTTCTTCTCCTCTCTCTCTTCTTCTTTCTTCTTCTTTTTCTTTTTTTTTTCATCCGAAAGTATTAGAAGAGAGAGAAAAGTACGATTGTAATTAGTGTAAAATTATAGGGGTAAAACAGATTTTTGGTAATGAATAGTAAAAAGTAAATAGTGTCTATGAGAGAGAACTAATTTTGCTATTATCTCTTACCATTTACTGGTATTTCTCTACTTAGAGTAAAGTTCTGTAAAAATTTTGCTATATTCTGGCCGATTAATAAATGTATTCAGTCCCAAAGAGCTACTAAAGTTTGATGCTTTTTTTTTGTCAACACCAAAGCTAATTGATATTCTTTAAGTAGTAAAATATCAAAAGTTTTACAGACAGAACTTTTCTGGTTACATAATTAATTGAAATCACAAGCGATCACATCACATAGACTGATTGGCTTCAACAGTGCTCATTCCTTATTTCTATAGGAAAGTCAGGATCGGCTGGTTTCTGAGGCAACAAAGATAACATATGAGGAAACCTAGAGTTGCGTGCTGCTGCAGCATTGGCCCTGAGATTCCCAAGAGCATGAGAAGCAAACCTAGATGCATAAATCGCAGCACCTAAGTTAAGCTTATTGCCTCCTGAATCATCGTTCTGAAGAGCGTTATGTAGTTTGCCTTCTTCTTCACGTAAAGCCCTCGAGAGCTTCCTTCTACAATGTCTCTTCCATGCTGCTTGTATAAAACATGCTGCCCATGTTCGCCATTGCACTGAATAAAACCTGGAAACAAAAAGGTATATGATATGAAAGAAAGTCCCAATATGAAGTAAAGCACAGCTCGGATTTCACTGTATGATGGTCTATATATAGTATTTGATCGACAAATCAAGTATCTTGTTCAACAAATTGTCTCCAATCTGTCAAGCTGCCCTGCTTTTTAGTAGAGTAAAGTCTTGCCTGACCATGTGCCGTAGTTTCTTGCTATGGAGGAGACGGTATTCAGTAGAGACAAACTTGAGATCGTCAGCTGAGAGAAGAAAGCCTTCGACTTCTGTCAGAGCTTGAACGGTTCTACTAGAGATAGGGAAGTGAGAGGCGTTAGGATCTAGAGCCCAATTAAATAGAGTTTCTCCACAGAAATCACCAGCCCCTAAGCGAAAAGAATTAGAGAATCCATTTTTGCCACCATAAGTGGTTGTGCTTTTCAGCTTTCCTCTCGTTACAAACAACATATCCTCGACAGGTTCACCTTGGCGCACAATGTAAGTGTTCTCTGTGTAAGAAACCGTTTTCGAACGAGCACATAGTGCGTCTAGTACCCGATCATCCATAAATTCAAACAAAGGTACCTGAAACAGACAAATTTGATTAAGTTTGAAACAGAGAACTTGACCTTCTTTACTTAGTTTAACGGCATGTATGAGAAAGTTAGAAAAAAAAAAACAAAAAAACAGAGGGAATGAAAAGCTTACCCTTTTGAACAAGTGTAGACAAAGATGGCGTTTAATGTCCATTCTAAGATGTTTTGGAAGGCTGCGAAGAAGAGCTTCCTCTTGGGTGCCTCTAGTTTCTCGCCATTTGTAATCCTCGTATCTCCTAATGCGTTCTTTCAGATACTCTGGTAGCATTCGATTGGACATCCATTTTTCTATATCTCTCTTTTTCTCCTCCATTTCATCTACTCTAATAGTAGTTGATTGCAAGTACTTCTGTGATCACCCAAAACAAAAAAAAACATAAAAAAGAAAAAACTTCTAAAAATCAGCTTTACGAGATCAAAATATAGTTTCTGATGAGGTCAACATTACCTGAATGTTTCCAATGAGCACAGCAAACAAGAGTAAACCAGAGACACAGATGATGATAGCAAAAATAATCTCCCTTACAGAGTTGCTTATAACCAGGTTTTGGCCCAAAGCACTGTAAAAATCGTTAAAGACCGGGTTAAGCTATGATCTTCAGACAAGAAGGGATTTTTTTCTTTAGGTACTAACCTTATGTTTCGGAGACCCCACCAAAAGCAGTAGAAGAACTTTTTTGGAAAATCCCTTGACTCTACCACACGAGACTTCATTGCATCAGTGTACATACCAAAGTTGAAGACTGTAGAGTTTGTGATTTGGTCAGGGTCAATTAATGGGCATGAAGTGTTCAGGAAACGACTGTTGTCTGTGCCACCTCTTGCACAGTAGAGATTCTTGAGATTACATCCAGGTTTCTCTGAACACGCCTGTCGCCAGCAGCTATCTTTTTTTTCAATCGCACTCAAGTACCAGAAAGCCCCGATCCCCTGACCATCAATATATATATATATATATATATATATATATCACAGCTCGAACAATGATTGTTTTGTGTTCTTATAACAACGATATAACCAACGGGAGCGAGAGAGCAAAGACTTACATGACTCGGAAGCATGTAGAGGAAAAGGTTTAAAGTAGCTCCAACCCACTTCGTTTCGGCTACTGTACCAGAAGCTCTTGTCAATTCTGAGAATATTGGATAGATACGGATGCTTCTCGGTATATATTGACAGGACATGACCCATTTCAGTGTCTCCTTCGTCACCAGTGAGGTGGTTTGTTTCTTTCTTGGAATGAGACCGAGAACCACCATCTGCAAGATTTTCAATTGCACATCTCTCTCTCTAATCATTGATCTTGCTTTGGTCTATTGTCTATTTTCTAATAGTAATGTCACAAAGGAAGAGAAACACACCTGAGGAATGGGGAGAATAGAAAGAATGTCAATAATGAAGTAAGACAAGTTACGTCTTTTCCTTTTAGCCTTAGAGTGCACCACAATCTCGCCTCTCAAAGAGGTTTGAGAACGAGGAGCAATGACCACGGTTATACAATGAAAAATGATGTGAATCACATATAATGTGTCAATAAAGGTACGCAAAACACAAACTGCTGCTCCAAGCCTTTTGTCCATAGTAAAGCAGAATCTATGAGAATCAACCACAGGGATAAAGAAAAACAGAGGATCAATAGCCAAAGCAACAACACAAACAAACAACACAGTCTTCCTCCAGCATTCAAGGGTTTTTATCTTCCCGTAAACATTTTTTATGCGCCGTGTAACATTCTTAAAATTCCCATTTACAGATAGAAAGGTTGAAGATCTCTCCAGATTCCTAGTATCAAACCTGTACCAACAAGATATCACTACAACAATAAACCTTTTTTTTTTGTTGTTGATAAAAACAATAGAACAAAGCTATTTGAGTTCATTAAATTTCGAAGGACTACCTCGCATATTTACTCCTCTGGTAATTCATGTATGTATGTATATAGTTTCTTCTTCCTCTGCTCAAAGTCTCAAACTGCTATATCCAAAGAGATAAACGTACTAGAAAAATGAAGTCTCCATCCTCTCTCTACCTAGAGTGCATGATGTAGAATTTTCAAAGTCTCTTCCTTCCAAAAAACCAGAAAGTCAGTCAACGGCCCACCAAATTAATTACTTTTGTTAGTTTATACAAGATCTAGGCCTACATGTCATTCGACATGATAGTGACTGAAAGTTAACTGAATTTGATTAAATGAAAAAAAAATGTAATTTCTTTCTCTAATTGAAAATATTTTTAAGAAAAGAAAATAAAATTTGGTTTGATTAAAGAATAGGATATATTCCCTTAATGTTAACAATTCACCTACAGAATTTTTCTTGTTATATATTTGAATGAAATCAATAGCGATTACACACATAGACTGAGTGGCTTCACACGTGTACAGATAGACTGATTGGCGTAAGTGTACGTACACAGTATAATTCAATCTGTAACACACAATTAGTGTTCATCCATAGGAAAGTCAGGATCGGCTGGTTTCTGAGGCAACAAAGATAACATATGAGGAAACCTAGAGTTGCGTGCTGCTGCAGCATTGGCCCTGAGATTCCTCAGAGCATGAGAAGCAAACCTAGACGCATAAATGGCAGCACCTAAGTTAAGCTTATTGCTTCCTGAATCATCGTTCTGAAGAGTGTTACGTAGTTTGCCCTCTTCTTCACGTAAAGCCCTTGAGAGCTTCCTTCTACAATGTCTCTTCCATGCTGCTTGTATAAAACATGCTGCCCATGTCTGCCATTGCACTGAATAAAACCTGGAAACAAAAAAAGTTATTACGGAAAATAATAAAATAATGTCCCAATATGAAGTAAAACACAGCTCGGATTTCACTCTATAATGGTCTATATATAGTATTTGTCGACAAATCAAGTATCTTTTCCAACAAGTTATCTCCAATATGTCAAGTTACACTGCTTTTTTTAATAGAATAAGTATTACCTGAACATGTGCCGTAGTTGCTTGCTATGGAGGCGACGATATTGAGTAGAGACAAACTTGAGATCGTCAGCTGAGAGAAGAAAGCCTTCGACTTCTGTCAGAGCTTGAACGGTTCTACTAGAGATAGGGAAATGAGAAGCGTTAGGATCTAGAGCCCAAGTAAGAAGATCTCCACAGAAATCACCAGCATTCAAGCGAACAGAATTGAAGAATCCAGTTTTGCCGCCATAAGTCGTTGTGCTTATCAGATTTCCTCTCATGACAAACAACATATCCTCGACTGGTTCACCTTCGCGCACAATGTAACTGTTCTCTGTGTAAAGAACCGTTTTCAAACGAGCACAAAGTGCGTCTAGTAACCGATCATCCATAGCTTTAAACCAAGGCACCTGAAACAGACAAGTTTGATTAAGTTTGAAACAGAGGACTTGACCTTTACAAAAAAACAAGAGGGAAATAAAAACAAAAACAAAAAAAACCAGAGGGAAATAAAAAGCTTACCTTTTTGAGCAAGTTTAGACAAAGATGGCGTTTAATGTCCTTTCTAAGATCTTTAGGAAGACTAGAGAGAAGGGCTTCTTCCTCAACTCCTCTGGTTTCTTGCCATTTATATTGTTCGTATTTACGGATACGTTTTTTCAGATCCTCTGGCAACATACGGTGAGACATCCATTGCTCTGCATCTCTCCTTTTCACTCTCATCTCCTCAACTCTTACCGTTGTTGATTGCAAATATTTCTACATATCAAATCAAATCAAATAAATAAATAACAACGGATCGAATCTGGAGCCCTTGTGTTAAGAGCTTGATGCTCTCAATAAAGGGAAAGAAGCAGAGAACTAATTTACCTGCATATTTCCTATGAGAAGAGCAAACAGGACTAGTCCAGAGATACAAATGACAATCGCAAAAATGATCTCTCCTTCAAAGGCACTCGTCTTCAAGTTTTGGCCCAAAGCACTATACATACAAGACAATATAATCTCTATGAGTAAACCAGACTGCAACTACAGTTTAGCAGATCATGATTTCACTTAGGACCAACGTTTGCTTATAAACAGAATGTATAAAATTTAGTTTTAAGTAGTACAAACCTAAGATTTCGAAGACCCCACCAGAAACAGTAGAAAAACTTCTTAGGGAAATCTCTGGACTCAACAACACCAGACTGCAATGCATCAGCGAATATACCAAAGTTGAAAACGGTCGAGTTTGTGATTTCCTCAGGATCGATCAACGGGCAAGAACCGATCAAAAACTGCCTATTGTCAGTCCCGTTTGGTGAGCAGTATAAGCTCTCATGTTTGCAACCACTTATGTTAGCACACGCTTCCCGCCAACATCTATCTTTCCTTTCTATCGAGATCAAGTACCAAAATGACCCAAAAACCTGTCCAATTTCGCGACCGTTATTTTCGGGCACAGGTCGAGTAAAGAATCACAAAGAAAAAAAGGGACTCTTGTTCCTCTTCTTACATGGCTAGCTAACATGTAGAGGAATAGGTTTAAAGCAGCTCCAGCCCAAGCAGTTTCAGTTACCAAACCAGAAGTTCTTGTTACTTCTTTAAAAAGCGGATAGATTCTTGCTATCCTCGGAACATATTGACAAAAGATTACCCATTTCAATAGCTCCTTTGTAACCAGCGACGCAGGTCGTTTCATCCCTGGAACGATAGCTAGAACAACCACCTGTAATTGTAGAGGATACGAAGATTACTTTCTAAGATTCATTTTGACATCTAACCAAAGACTTTCAAAAGACAAGATATAATGTTACCTGCGGAATAGGGAGAATCGAAAGAACATCGATGATAAAGTATGAGCCGAGGTATCTTAGAGCGATTGCTTTAGGATTCTCAATAAGCTCTCCTCTTCCGAAACCACGAGAAGAAGGAGCGATGAAACCAGTATGGAACTGAAACAACATGTGAACCACATAGAAAGCATCGATGAAAGTGCGTAAAACGCAAGCGATTGCCTCGAGTTTCTCATCAAGATTAAGACAGAAACTCTCGGGATTCACCACGGGGATGTAGAAAAACAGAGGATCAAAGGCTAAAGCCACAACACATAGGAGCAAGAAAATCTTGTTCCAGTTTTGAAGATAGGAATCGTTCGGATTCATCACTCTCAGGATCTTCTTCTTGTTCTCATTCTTCTTCCGAGAATAATGCAAGTGTAATGGCTGCTTAAAGGTTCTGATTTTCTCTGAGCTCTTCTCCAAGCTTCGTCTAACGGTTCTCATAACTGAACTTACTGACGATGGTCTACTAGTTTTGGTCCAAATATCTTCATTTTCAGTAAACCTGACTCAGAAAATTCAAATACGTATCAAGATGACTACATAATAATCTCCTAATAAACAAGATTAACAAATCCGAGAAGAACCGATACAAAACCTTACGAATTTGTTTCTTTGGGGGTTAATCATCTCTGCCTATTTTTTAGCACATATCCTCGAAACTGCGACAAAAAAAAAAAGAAATCTATTTAAAAACCTTTAAATCATCTCATCTTCTCAACCTAAAAAGAGTAATTTGACAAAACAGAGTGATTTGACGAAACAGAGTACTTTTAAAATAAAATAAAAAACCAAAATTGAAAAGAAAAAGAAGCTCCACGAGAGAAGCAAACCTCAATTCGAGAGGAAGGATCTGCAGTATTATCTTCTTCTTTTTTTCCCTCTCTGGTTCTTGGGGATTTTTGTTTCTGGTGAAAAAATGGAGCTTAAAGTTTGGCCGAAATAAATATTAAAAAAAAGGAAGAAAGGTTGATTATATCCTGAAATGGAATGAAGAAAAGAGAAAGGGAGGAGGATGATGATGTTCTAATTTAGTCGAGGGTGGGGATAGTACGGGTTAGTTTGATTTGATGCAGTTACACAATGTTGAAAACTATCAAGTGAAGAAGAAACGAGTCTGGAACTCAAGAAAAGACCAACTATACACTATAATAATAAATATTTTAAAATTATATTTAGGAAAATATAAAAGATGAGCTGACTTTTGACGAAGACTGAGTCAGTCAACCCAAAAAATTACAATTCCCCGTTTGGTTTTTCTTTGTCACGAAATATATATATATATATATCTATATATATATGAACAAAAAAAAAGGTGTTCCTACTTTGAGAGCAAATTACATGCTGTAATAGTGTAACATAGACATAGGTAATCTAAGTATGTTTATTATTTACATAATTATTATGTTAGGATCATTTACTTGTACAAACACACGAACTCGTTATTATTTGGATGTACAACACACATACTCATTAGTCATGATGACTAGTAGTACCCTCTGCCTCTGGTGTTTCTTTTTCTTTCTGCATTGTATAAACCTATTTGTTTTGCATTTACGATCTTGGTCATGGCCTCATGGGTTTAATTTTACGAACACTTGTATCTGAACATCTGAATCCACAAGTGTTGATTAGTCTATCTACGTAAAAAAATGTCCATGATATTTCTATACGGAAACTCTTAAAATTCTGGTTTGAAGTTTAGTGGTTTGGTCTTGACGAGACTTTTAAAACTTTTTTTCCAAGGGTACGCCATTTTTTCTTTAATAGGGTACGTGGTACGTCATTTTCTCCTCCACAAAAATCAATCATTCTTTAAAGCTCAAAATTATTTCCCACGAGTAATTATTACACATGTACTGATGTACATATGCAATGAATTACAGATTTCTATATACGAAACCAAAACTACTAAAACCAAAATGTACTCCCATGCATTGCTAATACACAGTACGAAATATAACGAAGCATCCAACATGAAAAATAGATTATGGAGAAACATTATACAATGATATTGGTCTGTAGATGCTTACACATTCCCAGAATAAAGGTGCAATTACAACTTGAAATTGACCACTAAGCAATTAATCTAATTTTAATTTATTAGCATTAATAATAGGAACAAAGAGATCATGAAACCCTCTACTCCCCTTTGGAGAATTAGGCCGAAACGCCAGAAACCAGCAACACTTTTGCCTGCTTGTCTATTAATCAAGTATCATAGCTTGATTTAAGACTTGAGACTATGGGAATTAGCCTTACATTAAGGCTTGTCTTCGTCTGACTGAGAACACGGAGGTTCTGGGACCGAATCCACTAAAAATTCCTCTGCAGAAATATGAAGAAGATTGGTTAGTGACGATATAATGATCATAGAACATGAAGTTGTATTTTATCTATAACCAATCCAAGTCTGAAACTTTTCATGCTCAAAACCATTCTTACAAGATTGATCCTTTTTACATGTTGAGATTTGATGTTTACCTATGTCCTCTTGTGAAGGAGAATCGAGTAAAATATCTGAATCAGATGGAAGAAACGGAGAACCGGGATAGTTCTCTAAGGCTCCTAAATCTGTAAATTACAAGATCAGCATATATCAGAAGCTATAGGCTTAAAATGCTATGCAAACATGTTATGGAGTATAGAGCAGCTACGTATATTATGCTTATAAGTTTTCGACTTAAACTCGGCAATCGTTATGGATAATGAGAACTTACCTCCCAGATTTGACAAATCTGCAGTGAGATCAGAGAGGCTAAAGTTCCACGTAATCTCATCAAATGGCCTGAGATTGTCTCTCGAACTTCCTGCTCCTCCATCTTGTCCAAGTTGTAACCCCTCTGAAGTCGCTACATCAGATGTGAAAGCAGAGTCAAGAGCTGACGTGTCCATTCCCATGCCTGACATGTCTGAAGCAGCAAATGGGAATTGTCCGCTTGACGCCACGGAAGTTGGACTCACTTGCATCTCCGACATTGATGACATACCACTGTTAGGTGGAATCGTTGGAGTTGGATCAGCCACGGTAGTATCTATTACCATACTACATCAAGCACCAGAGACAACATTAGGGAATAATAAAAAGACTAGTCAAGTCTGAAGCACCGTTAAAAACCAAATCACGAACGTAAATAGAGTTAATGTCTACTGAAAAGTTAGTTCTTACTCATTCCCTGAGTTCATCCTCATTGGTTGGAAATGCCCAGGTGCAGGGACTCCATTAACCACGTGACAGCTTGACATTCCACAACCCATTGGATCAAGATGAGGATGACCTGGAGCATGCATTTGAGGATGTTGTAGTACTGGGTATCCCATGGGCATGTTGTTAACTGCGCTGCAACCTTTTAGTTATATATCAGTGAAAGTGTGAAACACAAATACAAAGCTTTGCAAATCGAACCATCTACTCGAAATCTCATACTTGATAAAAAAATTTAGGGCTAATTAATTGTAGGTCTCTCTCTTGTTTAGGTATATATCAGTTACCTCCAACTTCCTTTTCCAGCAAACTAATTAGATATAAAAATCAAGAAGTTTGCAAGTGATATAAGGAGTCAAACTTACCAGGTGCCATGGGATGAATTCCGTTTTGCATTGGGACCAGAGGAGCTTTTGGATGTACAGGATACTTCATGAGGTTATACTGGTGCTCCAGCAAATGATTGAATACAATTATTTGCTTCTTCAGTTTCAGTCTGATATAGTATGCTCTGAAAAAGTCTGCGTTTTCTTCTTCCAGTTTCTGCCATACTAAATTCACAAGAAAGTTTTCAGAAATGGCAAACCACTACACAATGTTACTACCTATCGAATAGCAAAAAAGAGACCCTACCTAAAGTTGTAAATCCAGGGTCAATTCTTGCACGGGTCAAGAGAGTTTTCACAACCTCATCTCTGTTCATGTACAACTGAAGACATCTCTCTATCAAGTTTTGGACCTACATCAATCATTTTGAAAGTATATTTTGATCAAATGATAATAACTTAAAAGGAGGCCACAAGAACAAACACGCACACGCAAGTATATATAGAGGGGGAAGGTGGCCAAGTTTTCTTACAAGTTCAATGTCTTGCCTTGAAACTTTCCTACCCTCATTACTTGAGGCCGAGGCAGAGGCAGAGGCAGAAGCAGAATCTTGTATAGGAGCTTCTATTGATTGATTAATTTTCTGTTCACCTTGGGACTCATGTAAAACTTGGGTGGAAGACTGCAACTCCTGTGTGCTCTGTCATCGAATTAAACCTTTCACTTATTTTCACTTCTTGGTAAAGCAATGTATGTATACCAATGCTGAACAATCAAGCATACCAACTACAACGCAAGGATCAAGTATTGTTAAAATGACATTTTTCTATCATCGTCCAACTTCCTATGTAACTGTTAACCTAATCCTCGGATGTCATATTGCTTGGAGAAGCTTTCAATTGGGAAACATCTCAAGAGTAGAAAATAGCAAGCAAAATAGAGAAAATTTCGAAATTACTCAATTTTCAACAGAGAATACACTAAAGCAAACATTATAACAAAATGGAAAAAAGTTGGTAGATTTTGTTACGGACGAACCTGTCCGTTCGTCATTTAAGCTGAATGTAAAACCCACGCATTCTTCAATAACAACAATTCTCCTTAACAAACAACATCTGGGCACGCATGTTCCTGATGTTTGACCAAAATACAAACCTGGGATTGACATACATTGTTAGTTGAGTTAAGCAAGTAAGAAAAGAATGATTAAAGAAAGAAAGCATCTTTGACACTGCTAATGATAAGAAGCATGAAAAGTGACTTGTTTAACATTGTTTAATAGGGAATGTTAATGCCAATTAGGCACAAAAACACTGCAGAATATAAGTAATAATAAAATAATCCATACAGTAACGACCACAGCCAAACCTAATAGGTTCATCAAAGAATGGCACAGAAACAACAATAGTTCATCATCGTAATAAAAGAAGGCAACTTTACTATTCAGATAGTAAACCGCGAGTAATCTAAACAATCTGCAATCAGTGTGAACCTAACGATATACAATTTTACCATTTCTGAAAGACAAATCATGTGCGACGAAGCATGATGTTCAAAGAGTAAAACCGTAAGCAGACGAGAATCTAAGAAACCAAACAGATCTAGCATGAGTTCCTCGCGTTTTTCTGTTCTTTTAATTTTTATTTTTTTTGGACAATGGAAAGATTTTCCTTGAGAAATCTAAGGTTTTAGGAAAAAAGCAACAGGAAAATTCCATGAGATTGTGTGCAATCATTACCGACCAATAAAGAATATATCCATCCCTACACGAACAGATACACTTCCGTAATAAAATATTAGTTAAGAAAAATCTACTAATCTCTAAACAAATCAAAACAAAAAATAGAGTAAATGAATGAACAACACACGACCATCAAAGTTGTCTCACCTTAACTTTAGGTTTCAAGTCACTAAAAAATTCACAGCGAATCCAAAAATGGGTACACTTCCAACACAGGTTTTCTCGACGAATTATTTGTGGGGAGGGACGAATACGAACAGTTCTCTCTAAGGACTAGATTGAAAACGAAATCTGAACTAGATGGTTTAATTTTGAAAAAAAAAAAGGGAGAATCGGATAGGAGATGGAGTTGCAAGCAAGATCTGGCGTTATTGTTCGAGGTGGGGAAGAAAAAGACGCATCAAAGAGAAAGAAAGAGAGGTTTCGCTACGCCATTAGTGATTGGAAGAAAAGTTTTTACGATTGCACAAGGAGAATTGCAGAACCGCGGGGGAAGGGAAGAGGGGGAAAGAGATTCTTCTCCACCAGCAAATCTCTGCAATTTATATTTACTACTACTTCTTTGTTACACTATACTACAGTCTACAGGAGAGGGATTAATTTAAAAGAAGAAAAAAAAAGAAAAAATATTTAATTTTGAAAAAACTAATTATGGAGAAAATGGTTTTTTCTCCTTTTTTGGCACATTTGATATCATATAGGTACTGTATTTTTTTCTAAATTTTACCTTCTGTCCATAAATGTTATTTATTCTCATTTAATACAGTTTTGCTTTGATTTGAAGTCGGTGTTTAACACAGTTGTATTGTACTTGTACATGTTTAACAAAGCGTTTCTTTCTTTAATTCACTTTCAGTTACAAACATTGATTGATTCTTTATCGGAAAAAACATTTGTGTTGGTACGGGCAAGTTAACCGGAAAGAGAATCTCTCTTGAAAAGAGTCCAGTGTAACTTTTACTAGAAGGATTACGGCTGTAGTAGCTTGGCTCGGCTTCACTCCCCAGAGATGGTAATAAATGTAATTAATAACTACTCCCTTCGTTTCATAATAACTGTCATTCTGATACATTTCACATATATTAAGAAATTAAAAAAATATATAAATATACCCCTAATTAATATACTTTTATAACATTTAATTACAAAGATTATAATCTTTAAAAAAGGAATAAAACAGGAAATAAGAATAAAAAGTTACATTAAAAATGCAGAATGACACTCTTTTTAAAACAAAAAATAAAATCTAAAACGACATTTATTATGAAACGGAGTAATAACAAGTCATTATAAAATTACAGTTCTAACGCTGCGTTATACATATAAGAAAATAAGTGCAGTAAATTACAGCTGTACTTAGCAAACAGAGAGCTTTTTTATTAACTAAAATAATTATAAACCAATTTTTCTATAAAATTATTTATGATATTACAATTTTAATTTAATAAAAAATAAGCAAACATGTGTATATGTAATATAACAGCTAGTGAAAGCCAATGCCAAGTTGGAGTGTTGAGTGCTACGAGATGGCATGGATGGACCTCCACTGCATTCACAGTCTCCGGGAATAGCATATTTTTTTCTTCTGGATTTCGATTATAGTTTGATTACATTTTTCCAGGACCACTTTATTTTTCAAACAATAATTTTTTTGTAACAAGCAATGGTCCAAAAAAAAAAGAATATAGTATATCATACACAGGATCTCCTGATTACGAGCTTCTGGTTTCCTCTTTTCTTTTCTTTTTTTTCTATTAGTTTAAAAAAATCTTTATGGAGATTTTATTTTTTTAAAGGAAGTTTCATCATATTAACTAAGTACAAAACTGTTTTAATAAGTGCAAATATAAAACCTTTTATGGAAAAGCATAAATTGTTACTAGCGGTTATTGAAACAATATGAACTAAGGTAGAATAATTTGGAAGGTAAGTTTCATTTTGTTTGAGAAAGCGGATTGAAACAATAACGAAAAGTATGTTGGATATCTTTGATTATAGCATAGCTTGGCCGGAAAAAAATTTGTGAAGTCGAGCTTTTTTTGTACCCTTTCCAAATTGTATATATACATATGTATGACCGCTTGAAACACTAGCTTGAAGATGAAAGATACATTCTTGTCTTTAGTCAGATATCGCTTATTCTATCTTAGAGACAAATCTGGAAAAGAAGCAAGATGGAGTTTGTTAGTAAAAGAGGATTTAGATCTGATGACTAAAGATGCGGTCGAAGAATAAATGTTCTTTTGATTCATTAAAACTGTTAGATAGAAGACTCAGGTGGTGAGTTTGGTAGTCTCCAACTCTGTTATCAATCTCTAATCGATTTGTAGAAATGAAGCGTGTTTTCAAATCCAGCCTTTGAAATAAACTGATGGAAACCAAACAACCTTAACGCCTTGTGAATGGAAAGATGACCAAGTACCCGAAAATGAAAATTATTACCCGCTTCATCCTTTACAAGCATGCATGTCAGCATGTGCATGCTATGTTGCGTTATTGGTCATCCCTCCATCTATATACGGAGATCATTTTTTCGTTCTGATTTATATAAATCTATTATATCTAACTTCTTTTTTGCTCTAACTTAAGAAGTTCTTCAACTATTTTTGGTCGTAATATTATGCTTTCAATAAGCATCCCCCATTTTTGTTACAATTATGGTTTTTACCTACGGCGGCTACCTGTTGGTCACATTGCTTGCTCCACTCTATGGTCAACGAACCAAAAGTACTAAGTATTTGTAACTCACACGAGGAGCTGTACTCTGTGCAATTGTGTATATAGAGAGTTTTATTTACAGAATAATTTAAAGCACATCGTGACAAAAAGACACACACTTTGTATTTTGTAAACTATTACTGATCATGACATATCAAGTTACTAGATATTTGCTCATCACCGATTATACTATATAAAGAAATTTGCGTGCATAGACTTTTTGTTTTCAACATATATATAGAGTTAATCAAAAATCTAAAACTTTGTCTATCTTTATTATCTCAATATATTTCATCTTTTTTAACGTTTCAAAATGAATTTGTGTAGTTTAGAACTCTTTTTGCTTGTATTTTGTGACTTTGTAGTTATCAACAAGTCGGTATTAATTGTTTTTGGCATTTATAGAAGGAAAGTGAATTTCTTTCTTTATTTCCTAGCAAAAAATAAAGAAATATTTTCTTTCTAATACTCAATTTTGTACAGCAAGCTGAGTATTGAAACTGAAGCTGGCTCACGAGCTGTCGTGAGTCACGCACTTGACCACGTGAACCCAATCAAAAACTGTGACTTCTTTAAGAAAAACGCATGAAATTAATGAAACAGACACATTCGTTCACCAATACAATACGTTAGTTCCATTAATCCAAAGGACCCACCAATAAAACATAGCGCTAAATACAAAAGTGTATTCAAAAACGAAATTAAAAAAAGTCCATTAAAATGAGTTCAAGGTTTTATTTTGCTTGAGGTGATTATCCACTTATGACACGACACGTGTAATACGTTGCCGGAGAAGTTAACGGCCGGGAGCTGGCCGCCGCGTGGCAAACAGATGCTGACAAATTAGGGAGAAGTGCGGTCACAGACACGTGGCACTAAAAGAAAGGAATAGCGTGGAGGGTGCTTGACCATTTATCGCCTTGGGATTTGAGACTATTTAAGGGGCAAAAGTGGTAAGACAAGTCAACACTTCAATAATTTTCTCTTTTTTGGTAGTTCAAAATCTATGTTAATTTCTCTAACCACGTAAACACTTCTTTAAACCGACCAAAATAAAAATAATTAAAGATTGATTGATATAGTTTATGGGTTAAGCACTTGAGCAATGTTGTTACAGAGACCTAAGTCTTTTCCAAAACTTGGGATCTTCGTGAAATATTATTTTTAGCCGAAAACTATATTATAGTTGTATTATATATATCTTGTTGTACTAAGTATTAAAGATGATATCGATATGTATGTACTTGTTATGATAACACTGTCAGATGACCTTTACTCTAAAATGTTGTTGTTTTGGAGACCTATTTAATTTATAAGAGGACATACGTCGATAAATTAACTACCAAATAAAACATAAATTAATTAAGTTATACATACGAAATAAAAGAAGGGCATGGCAATGGCATGATGGAACTTCAAATATAATGGAGAGAAAAATGAAGAAACGATCGCGCGGGAGGACCTTCCAGCTAAAGTTTTTCTCCTGTCTACAGAGGTTTAATAAAGACACTTCAAATTTAATATGCCTCGCATGGACAGTCACAGCCCCCAAATATTATTACTACTCTTATTATTATTTATTATTATTATTGTGGGTAAAAAAAGATCTAATTGATGGTATAGTGTAGGCATTTCTTTTCCATTTACAGTAATTTTGTTTCAAAAATATTTTCGTTTCTATTCTTTATATGTATGTCCCTTTTTTGATTATATATATGTTGAATGTAGGCACTTATCAGCAGTGGCGGAGGCACAGTTGCCCCCAATAAAAAAAATTAATTAGTATAAGTTCTTAAGAAAATAATTTTTACCCCACACCATATAATATATTTGACCCCATCAATTTATTTTCTTTGCTCTATACTTTTTTTGCCCCCAATAAAATATATTTCTACCTCCGCCACTGCTCATCAGTGTTTATATATCTACAATATAATACCGATCCAAGAGGGAAAATATTAAAGATTTCTTCATGTTTTTCATTTGTAGATGATTTGTGGGCAAAGAAGAAACTGATGGGTGATCTCAAAGTATTTACTTGAGCTACCGTAACGAACTAGCGACTTGGCGTTGTCAGATGTGCGTGCTACGTATTACTTATGAGAAACCTCCGTTTATCCAAACACTCATGGGCTTTTTTAGTATGGGCTCAGCCGCTCGGGTGGATTGATAGCACTTTTAAAACCAAAATAAAAAAGCCCAGATATTATATATATATATATATATATATGCACGTACACATCACAAGTTTTACTTTTAAACTTTTTGGTTACTAAATTTTTATCTCTATAATTTTTCAGAACATGCAATGAAAGATGCATGTATCGAACGTTTTCAATTTATCATGACATCTACCAATTTTTTTTGTTTAATTATATTAGCTTTTGATCTTATAGACTCATCTAATATTCGCACTCCAGATCTTACACGCAATCTGAAAGTGGAAAAAAAAGCATTTTAAATATATAGAGAAGCTTAATCTCATAGAATTAGCTGCTGGAGAAATACCATATATTTAACCACCACATGTCATAAAAATATTTGTTGTTAGATACTGGTCTGAATCATGGCTTTTTCGAGTCAAAGCTGTATATAGAAACATATATGCTTTTTTTGCTCTTCATCTCACTCGATTTGGTCTAATTTCATATGTGACAATAATAAAGAGATAACACCCTTGAGAGATATAATTAAAACCGGTCTCGAGATGCGGTTAAAGCATATTTGTAATCAATATATGTTAATTAATTAACAAAATAAGTACGTTACCGGACCACATCGGACCACAAGACGCACACAACCATACGGTGTTGTGCCCACTTTACACGACATTATTATCAGACCAAAGGAATATATGAAAAATACATAGAGATATGTTCTCGAACTAACTAACTATACTACTCTTTATGCTCTTCATTTTGTTTTTTTTCCCATTTTTCCCTCTCTTGTTTGATTAGAATATTATTATTTATTTTGTTTTTCTCTTCCACCAAACTTTCCTCTTATATCAAACTTTCAAATGGAATGTCTGAAGATTTTCCTTCCAAGAAATTCACTACTGTTATTAACTTATTATTGTATTGTTATATACTTATATAGTTCAATACAGTTACACTATGTTAAATAATTCTCTCATAGCTTTGACATCAACAACAAAAAAATCTCTGATTAATGCATTACAGTCCCATATAGTTTAGCTTATTATTATATATATATAAATAAAACTCGCGATTAGCCTAACTAGGGACATTTTCGTATTTGACAAAGTCAAATCGAGAGAAGCAGTCCTTCCCTCCAACTGTCTGTAAACGAGGAATATTACAACCGCAAGTCAAAAGGGTTTAAGGTGTTATTATTTAAATAAAATATTTACAAGTATTAAGTAGTTATGGTTGTATCTGTCGTTCTTCTTTCTGATGAACAAAGGCCGTTGAAGCAAACACACAGTGTGTACTACTCTGTCTACAGATTCGTTTTCTTCTGCTCATCAATCGAATTAAATTACCACCATTAATCACTCTATTTTAATAATTGAGTGTGATGATATTTAATAAATAATTAATTATATCAGACATACACGCGCAGTTATAAAATAATCTGTTTGATTTTCTTTCTCTTTCTTTTTCGAGCCCCTCTCTCGCTCTTTCTTTCGAGGAACCGAAGTAACCAAAAAAAAAAAAGAAAAGAAAAGCCAAGGCGTCGTGTGTTATTCTCTCCGTGCTTCTTTCTCGAGATTTATTCTCTGTGTGTTCGTGTCATCGACACAGATTAGTTGATCTTTAATTTCTTTTTCTGGACAAGACGGAAAAAATGGATAAACGACGCCGGAGACAGAGCAAAGCCAAGGCGTCTTGTTCCGAAGGTTCGTTCTCTTTATCTTTCTCTCTCTGTTTCTATCCCTCTGGTTTGAGTTTGATGATTTTATATCGTTCGCAGAAGTGAGCAGCATCGAATGGGAAGCTGTGAAGATGTCAGAGGAAGAAGAAGATCTCATTTCTCGGATGTATAAACTCGTCGGCGACAGGTAAAGGCTCTCTTGATCCATCTGATTTGCTTCTTTTTTTTTCTGTTTCATGATCATTCGTCGAATCTGAATTTTTGAAAAATATTTGCTTTTCATTTGATTTTCGTAAGTCGGTCGTTTCTTTTATGTATTTTTATTGTTTTTGACATTTTTTCTATTATAGTATTGAGCCGAACCGAGCTGTCGATGACTGTGTTCAGCCTGATTTTTGATCCGCTTTTGATTTTGTGTTTTTGGTTTTTTCTGATTGTTATTTTTATTTTGGTTTATCATACATAACAAAAAACATAATCAAGAATCTATTTGGTTTGGATTGATATCGTTTAAGGTTTTTTTTAATAGTTGATTGTTCAGCGGAACATATTCTTTTCTTTTTTTTTTGAACATCAAACAAAACATATTCCTACTTATGCTCTATTTTATGACAGAATTCACAAACTGTTTCCTCACTTTGGTTTCCTTCAACTTTAAGTGCGCAATGTTTGTGTACATATTTTTTTTTTAAAAAATGAAATATAAAATGGTTGATAAAATTTGGTTCAGTCCATATAAGTGTAACCAAAATGTTTATTGGGATTTTTTATATGAAAAAAGTGTGTTTGAGTAAATCGCTGAGTTTACCGTACGTGGCGCGTAGGTGGGAGTTGATCGCCGGAAGGATCCCGGGACGGACGCCGGAGGAGATAGAAAGATATTGGCTGATGAAACACGGCGTCGTATTTGCCAACAGAGAAGAGAATTTGTTAGGAGATGATGCTTATTTTTCAAAATGAAAAAATATTTTCCTCTCCATAACCATAATCCACAAGACAAAGAAAAAGGAAAAGGACCTGTCCTTGAACTATATTTTGGAATGTATAATTATCCATATATATAAAATTGCTTAGGAGTTTCAATTTCTTATCATCCATATCGACATCTCCATAAACTATCGTATGTGTGTGTCAAACCCAAAAAAATAATTCAAAAGTTAACCAAATCCTTGCGAATTCTTAAAAATCGACTGTGCAATATAAATGAAAATCTGATTTGTCAGTTTTCTGTACACAGAAACAATGATAAACGGGGGAAAAAGTCTATTAAACAAGGTAAAAAAACTATTCAAAGAGGGAAGCAGGAAAACAAAAAAAGACATTTATTTGTTGGAGTCCGGAAATTTGTACAAGTAAGCTAGATGGGCCAGAACGCCCATTATTAGGTCAAAGAGGGAAGCACTTATATATGGGCCAACGAGTAAGCCCATTTTTCAGTTAAGATTTTAGGAACAATTCACGATCAACCAGAAGAATATACGACTGCTGCGAAAACGCACGAGTAAGCCCATTTTTCAGTTAGGTGACCCGCGCGTTTTCACAGCAATCGTATATGTGATGCATAACAATCATGTTGATCTTGGTGTGGTTAAACGTAACTGCTTTAACCTGTAAATTCCCTGAAAGAAAATAAAGATTTAATAGCGTCGTCGAACATAAAAGTACAGAGATTCCAATTAATCAATTAAGATTTTAATTATCAACTGGATGCCAACAGACAACAGTTTATATGTCTTTTGTGGTCTTGTTTTTATTTTTTTGGGTGATTGTCAAAAGAATCAAAACTTTATTAATACGTAGTAATCTACTATGTATTATTCGAAAATCCTCTGACCTCTTATTGTTTGTATCATTTTAATTTTTCCAGCGATACTGTGCTTTTAAATTTATAAAGATCGATATAATTATGTGTTCATGGAGTTTTCTTTTTTATTTTTCTTTTTGTGAATAGCGATGCTGGTTAAATCCAATATCTTTAATTTAAAAGACAAATATAGGGGGTGTTATTCAATCATGATTTTTAATAGAATTTAAATCCAACCACAATCCACTATTAGTCAACTAATGATTCTAAATAATGTTTTAAAATCAAGTGTTATTGGTTTTTTTGATTGTAAATCATATTTAAGAGGTTTTAAAGTTTGGTGTTATTCAATAAAGATTTCAAATCTTTCATTAAAATCCAGTGTTATTCAAAACGAAATAATTTTTAAAATCTTTATATATTAAGTCATTTCAAATCAATTTTAATAGAGTTTTATGAGTAAATTATTAGAATCAAAATCCAGTGTATATTGCAGAGATTTTAGAATCTAAACAAATGAATCCATCAAACTGATATCAATTTTTAAATTTAGAAGATTATAAAACATAAAAAAATTATTTTAAATTCATGATTGAATAACATCCCGTAATGAAACTGTTAAGGTGTTTTCCCACGTGCTTATCATCTAACAAGACTTGGAGAGTATGTGTTCACACTTTGGCGTGACTAACAGTTTAACCCTCGAATTTCGGTATGGTAGACATCAATATTGATAATTGTTATTAATTTTTATTATTATTTAATACTCTAATTTATTAGTGCTCCCCACTAGTAGTAGAAGTATATATATGAACTAAATTTCAGTTTGTCACGTCTTTAGGTAATCAACACAGTTGATCTGTGAGTTTGATTTGTGTAAAGTTACAATTTACCACTTATGTCCATAGTACAACTCTTTAGCAACTCTTGGTTTTGATTTGTCTTATGCCCTTTGGTCTCAAAGCATGTTTTATTAGGATCTGATGAACAATGTTTTTTTTTTTTTCTACTATCACATTCTTTCTGTACTATACTACTATGCGGTTCGAGAAATTATCAATCAAACCCATTAAACTGTAGATGTCCCATATATATTTGTACACACACTATGATATTTGATTAGCATGACGTGACTTTGTGGGCCTTTAAGGGACGATATATCTTTGTCTACGCGCACCCAAAGGCATTTCCTGGAAATTACCAGATCTTTTCTAAAACTTCACTGAAAATTCATTTCTTTCCATACACTGGATATTTAGGGTGGATCTATCTATTCCGAATTTCGAATGGCTGTTGTTTCTTATCATCCCCGTTAATATGGGAAGATTGTGTTTGGAACTCAAAGTTTCGTTTACTTAGAGAAAACCATCACTAATATTACTTATCCGGTCGTTCACATATTTTATTAATGAGGTTATATCGTTTGCCGTTTAAAAAAAAAGGTTATATCGTTTTAATTTTAACTAGATTCTAACTCCGTGCACCCGCACGAGAATTTTTTATTTATAATATAATTTTAATAGAATTTCTTTTTGTTATTTATTTTTTTTAATTCAAAATTTTTTTTATCATATTATAACTTTGAATAGTATAAATTTATATATTAGTAGAATAAGAATATGAGTTAATTAAATATATATTGATCTATAATGTTAATTATGAACTTTATTATTATGTAAGTTTAGATTTACACATAAAAAAATCTATACATCTATGAATTAGCTAACCCGTCCATTTAGTTATCTCAAATCATTTTTTAATATCTTACATGTTTTGATAAACTAACCCGTATAAAATTGTTATTATAAATATATAACTTTAACTTGCTCTATCATATTATTGTAAAATATAAATATTTAGTAATATTAAATATTTGATGCTTTAGACGGATTGATTATGATAAATAATACAATAAGATATTTGTTTACCACTTGTGCTATTATAAAATATTATTTAAATTCGAAATTTTAAATTAAAAATCTAACCTGTATTTAAAGAATTTTAAAGTAATTAAAATTATTATCTAATTTTTGTAAGAAAAATTATTAATATTTTTTTGAATTTTAAATTAAATTGAATCTAAGTTTTGTAATTAAATTTAAGTAATAAAAATTTCGAATAATTTAAAATTTAAATTAATATAACTTATATTTAAAGAAATCTAACAATATCTAAATTAGTAATCAATTTTCAAAATTAATTATAATATAAAATAAAAAAATTATAAAAATTATAAGTGTGTTTAGAAACAGACACTTTTAGATTTGACGTCTTTTGTGGGATTACTAAATTTTCAAGCAGCAGAATGAATAAGTATAGATTTGGTTTGGGGATCTTCCGACTTCGGATCATTATTTTTCTGAGTGTCAGTCTTTGACCATGACATATTACTAGTCGAATTTAGTACACATATATGTGTGCTTTTTTTCCCTCTCCAGTTGAAGATAAGTTAGGTTAAAGAAAACTGATTTAATATTTTCCCAAAAAAAATCTGATTTCTCGTTAAAATACTTTGAAGAACTGTACATATCTTCTAATCTAATTTCTAAATATGAATCGATCATTTAATTTTGATGATAATAAAGCTTATTATAAGTCATAACCATTATAGTTGATGTATGCATTAATAAGGTAATGTCCTGTAAATAAACACTAAACATATAAGATTAATCATTCATTCGAGACGAAGTTAAAAACATGTCTTGCGATTTTAATCGTTAGCTGTTATAATCAATCAACACACAGAATTGGACTATATGATTATTGGATTTAACTTAACATTTGGGATATTCATGATTAAAGTTATAACATTTAATCCCAAAAAGGCCATGTGCACGTATATGCAACCCCTCGGTCAGTTTACTTAAAGTAGTTAATTATAAACTATTATTCTGATCAGACGCGTCAATCGAAAAGAAAAAGTAGACGCGTTGATATAGATTAAACATCCATTTGAAAATTAATTTTGTTCTTTTCTAATGTAATTAGTTAAGCTCTAGCAGCAGCCATTAAACACTAACTTCCAAAAACTAATCAGTTTTGACTCAGAAAGCTACAAGGTTGATAACCGAGAAATATAGAATAAACAGTAATGTGGGTTATATCAATATTATCTACTATTCATACTATACACGATATTATACTGAGGCATTCTGTTAGACGAACATGCCAAATGCATAAAGCCATAGCTAACAAGGTATTATCTTATCATTTACAAAATATATTGCTGTACGAGAAAAAAAAAAAAAAAACTAGTCACAAGGCAAAGGTATGTTCTCCATTAGTTTACAACTTTTAATTTTCATTTTTTTATTTCTAAAAAATAACTCGTTGAGTTTTATCTAGCATAAATACAAATACAAAAAAGTTGTGCTTATTCAAAATGCAATTTTTTTTTACTTTAAGTATGACTTACTGAACAATTTAAATCACTATTCGCACACCATTATAATTTTTTTATATATAATTTGTTTGTTATGTATACTTTTTTCAGTTCTATGCAGTGGCGGAGAGAAATGGCACAAAATGGGGTCATTCGCTCCCAAGGAATTTTAAAAAGGATGTAATTTATTAAAGTTTAATATCAATGCCTATCCATAATATCACATATACTCTCATTTACTCCCAGCAAAAAAAAATTCTGGCTCCGCCACTGGTTCTATGTATTCAAGTCATATACATTGGTGAATAGTGAATACTATAAGACAGATGGAGGATGACTGATCATCGTGGACTCATGGTATATCGAATTTAGCGAGTTTAATCATACTGATGATGATGATAATATTAATACGTCGCTGTCAATAATTGTGTGAAAAGGGAAGGCGAATCAGTACATATTCTCTAATCCACACCTGCATGGTTTGAATTTATCCATAGATTCTCCATTTACTTTTAGGGTTACTATAATCTCAACCTTTGACCCCACTAAAAAACATAAATAAAACATAATCAACAATAGTACATACAATGTCTAGTATCTTAAAATCAATTAACCAAAATGTCAAATTATAGCTTATAAATGTTTATTAGGTGTGATAAGTGAATTAATTGGCATGACGTCACGAGTCCTTCACGTCAGCGGAAAAAAGAAAGAAAAAATACATTCAACGGGATCTATAACGCGGTAGGACTCAGAGGTCCCTTTGAAGATGATTGTTTATTAGTTTACTCGGCAAATCTATTATAGCCATCAATTAAAAAAAAAATCTGAAATATTAATAAGATTAACTACTAAACTCAGCGAGTGAGACTTCACCAAATATGGGTTCTATTGTGATCGGGGAGATATTTTTAGAGTAGATATGTACTTTGTATCTGATCAATTAATAGTTGCTCTAGTCTTGAAAAATTAAATTTCGGAAACTTATGTTTTATTGATAAAAATATAAATGATAGATTAGATAATGTTATGTGTGTTTATTTTTTTCTAATAGCAGAAACGAGGTAACCACTAGAACAATAAATACAAATGAATACATGTATATATATATATATATATATGTTAATATTAAAGACCAGTGAGAAAAATAGTAGTCACCTTTTCGTCAATTTCTCTCCAAGATCCTTCTCTTTTCCACACAACTTCTTGTCTAAGATTAAACGAAAATAAATAATAATAATATTTATAAAAACAAACTTATTGTCTAAGCCCAAGACATAGTACCCTCGTAGATTCTCATCATTCATGTATATAAAGACACAGACACACAAAACTCACATTTCATCAAACCACTCAAAACAGAAAGAAAAAAAACAGAGGATTCTTCTAAAGAGATTCTAAATTCTGTTGGTGGTTTTGTAAGTGAACGCAGAGATGACGATGGAAGAGAAGCTTTTGATCAACGAACTGGAACAAGGGAGAGAGCTTGCGAAACTATTGATGAGCAATCTCAAACAAACTTCTTCAATTGAATCCAGCAAAACCTTGATCTCTGAAATTATCCGTATTTACCAGAATGCCATTTTCATGTTGAGCTTGAATGAAGACGACAAGAACATCCTTAAGCGAAGCCCAGAGTTCAATGACAAGAATTCTAAAACCGTGTTTAAAAAGAGGTAAGTTGAGTTTAAAAGGTTTTAACTTTGCAGATCAGTGTTTGAGCTCCAATTTGAGATCTCATGTCTCTAATTCTTCTGGTTCCTTTTTTTTTGGTAATTTGCAGGAAAACATCGGCGGAGAAGAAGACAGAGAAAGTTAGGGTTGTAGTTGGAGAAGGACAAGAAAAGGGTTTGATTGATGATGGTTTTAGCTGGAGAAAATATGGGCAAAAAGATATTCACGGATTCATAAATCCTAGGTAAATTGTCAATCACCATCATCTGGGTTTTTCAATTTATGTTTTTTTTTTTTTCTAGGATTTTGCTAAATTTGATGTCTGTGTTATTACAGAGGATATTTCAGATGCACACATCGATTCACGCAGAATTGTCTAGCAGTGAAGCAAGTCCAGAAATCAGACAAAGATCCTTCGATATTCGAAGTGAAATACGTCGGAAACCACACTTGTAACAATACACCCCCGAAGACGAAGACCCCGAACCTCTCTGTTTCAATGTTCGAAGAAGGAAACAGAGCACATGTAACAGAGCAATCAGAAGACATTAAACCGACGAAAACCGAGGAAGTGACGATAAGTCTTGATGATCTGGAGGAGAAGAAGAACATTTTCAGGACGTTTTCTTTCTCTAACCACGAGATTGAGAATGTTGGTGGGTGGAAAAGCAACATTCTCTCGGAAAATTTGATGGGAAATCTGTCACCTGCAACATCAGGGTCTGGAATTACCGCCGAGATTGTAAGTGCTCCTGCTCTTGTTGAGAATTCGGAGACTGCAGATTCGTATTTCTCGTCTTTGGACAATATTATCGATTTTGGACAGGACTGGTTGTGGTCGTAGTAGCTTTACATTGGTAAAATGTAACTTTCTCATGGCCGTAATTATAGATGGTCCGAGTGTAATCTCAGTGTTATAGTATTATTTCAGTTAATGGATAGAGATTGGCTTTTAGCCTTTTAGGATATGATTTTTGCCTTTTTTCTAGTAGGGTTTGTGAATTCCCAGTGAAGTTCGATGGTACTACTTTATGACAATTAATTAAGAAATGATATTTTTTATTTGGTCAAAAAGAAATGATTTTATAAGGTTTATTTACTAGTTTAAAATTGATCATCCTTGGAGTTTGACAAAAAAAAAAAAAGTTGATCATTCTTGGAATGCTGGAGTTATGGTTAAATTGATACAAAGATTTTTGAATGAATAAATTATGAAAACTCTTTGTAGATTAAAAATGTGCAATTGTATTCGAATGAACATCTAAAAACTTGAATTTTTTTCCTTTTTGGCAAATAGAATGTGCAAAAAATAATAATAGAAATTCCAAATACAAGTAAAACTAAAAAATTATTTTTTTAAAAAGGAGAAAAATTAGCAAAATTAATCTGAGATTGTTCAAATCAATGCTTCGTAGTAAAAACGATTTGATGGGCCGTAAGGGCGTGGAAGCCCAATATCAAATTAACAGCCCAATCTCGAACACAGAGATTTCACTCAATTTCATTAAAAGAATCCAGCAGACTATCGGAGAAGATCAGAACAAAAGTTCGGAAGAAGAAGAAGAAGAGGATGATATACAGAAAGTGGAGTCTGCTTTCCGGTCCACCGGTTATCCTCGGCGGAGCCGTAGTTGCCGCCGTCGCTGTCGGCATCTTCTTACAGAACGTATGTTGCTTCTGCATCTCTTGTTTGGATCTCTTTTGATTTTTTTTTTTTTAATTAGAAATCCCTATAGGTCGTTAGATCTATATCTTGATTGGCTGATATGTTTCTTCGCAATTTTCATGATTCTCCTTTGATCTTATTCCGATCGCAAATACATTTGACTAGTTGGCAATTGGCCCTTCCATTTTCGAACCTAGAGGCATGTAAGAAACGTTCTTTGATTGAAAGTTTGTAGTTCTGGCTTAGGCTCCTTTGGTGGATCAGAATTGCCTTTATTTGTTTTTTTTTTCAGGGTTGAATGTAGAAAGCCAGTTACAACGCTATAGAATTCTGTTTTTTTTTTTTCTTTTTTTTTGTGTTGATTCGTACTTAAAAGACTTTCATAAGTGATTTCAACCTTCTTTCCAGATCTTCTGGAGATTATGTTAATTACACACAACACATAAACAAGTTCATCTTTTGGTTTAGTATCATTGATCCAAAGATTTAAATTGGAATCGACTTTCTGATGTGTCATGATCAGGTTACGAAAGGGGAGCAAAAGAAGAATGTCTCACCAAACAAATGAAAAGGAAAATTGGAAGGTGTTACAAAAATGTGGTGTGAATCATTTGACCTGAAACATTTAGTTCATGCAGTGTAACCCAATAATGCTTTTTGAAGCTTTCGAATACACAGATATTTTGGTGTTTTAGTATCTTGTTGCCGGTAATAATATTTCATTTTGCACATTCTCATTCATTCTTTACATTGATCAGATGGCTCTGTAGAGTAAGAACAAAGTAGAATTGTTAGGATAATGTAACACGGATGTTCAGAGAATACATCAACAACACATCGTGGAGGCTCATGGACATTCCCTTAGATTGCTTCATGCAGCTCTCCTAGGGACTCTCATCCCGAACCCACGCTTCAGCTTATCGACCCTGATCATGCAGCATCAAACCTCAGATACATTTAACTTGAAACGTAAGGGCCAAAAAGAGAGATGTTTTATAGGGATTGTGAAAGCTTACGTTGGGGCGAGTTTGCCAAGACTATCTAGCTCTTCGCCGGTATCTTCGTCTATGACTCTACCTGAGATGTAAACAGTGTAGGATCGATCTCTGTCCCGTGGGAGACCTCTAGCATTGAGCAAGCGCAGGTCTTTCTGATGAAGCTCTCTTCCGTTCACAAAGACTCTTGTGGTTCCCCCAGCGCAATTCTCTGGCATTGGGTAATTGAGCTCTTCAATGAAAGGCTGTTAAGAAAAGGAGTTAGCTTTTGCCAACTTTTTTTTTCACTACAAATTCAGAAACTTTGATTTGATGTTTACCGGTAATATTCCAAGACATTGACTTCCCATTATTCCCCAGAATCCAGCTCTGTAGTCGTACCTGATGATACCAAGGAAACATAACAGAAGAGAACCATTAGGGCTAAGTAATTGAGACGAATTTACAAGATTGAAGGACCCTCGTGTACCAGTAGTTTCCCGGCCGGATTGGTCCAGCTTGCTTCTCTGCTATTTTCACCAGACGTTCAGCTACATGATGCCCATTTACCAAAACATCACTTCTGCCTTCGTTCTGTATGGATTTCTTTAGATCCTTGAAGCTATTCTTCACGATACTCGCAAATCCACCCGTCTTGGTTCTTCCATGGTCCTCTCTACAGTCATTTGCAGAATCTTGAGACGCTCCACTGTTGTGAGAGTAGTCATTAACGTCCATCTCAACTGCAACTGAAGCTTCTTTGATAGAGTTCTGTCTCATGGCTGTCTTGCTCAGTGTCACCCTGTCCTGTTCTGAACGATAGCTTTGGCTCCTTGCATTGATCGAAGAGTACCCGAAACGTTCTCGAAGAAGCAAGTCTGGAACAAGTTTCCTTCCTTTTGGACTGTCTGAACTTAGCTCGTCTTCAGACACGCTAGGAGAAGTAGAATCCGCAATCTGCATTTCTTGAGCTTTGTCGGTGATCAAAGCCGAACCAGTTGAGACATCGGCTGGTCCTCTATCCATTGCATCGAATTCGTAAGCAGCATCATCATAGTCATCAGAAGAGAAATTAACAGCAGTTTCCCAATGTAGCTTACTGTGAGTTTCTGCTTTTCTTGCTGAAACAGGATCGGTTAAGAGGATGAGTTTGTTATCAGCAAAGGAAAAATCTATTAAACCAGAGCACGCTCCGCAGCGCAGTCTCTGCTGCCTTGTCGTAGCAGAATCCGTTTTGTCTGGCAATTTTAGAAGTTTGGAGCAGTTTCTACAGTTTATAAAAGGTGCACCACCAGCCACAGGGTGGATTAGGCGAGAACCACCTGAAGATGATACAGCTCTAGTGGGATGACGAGGAGGAATAAAGGTTCGATGAGGACTATGCAAGGAAGAAGAACGAAACCCGATACTTCTCTCATGAGGGTAAAAGCCTATGTTATGCAGAGCATCAGGCAACCCTGAGGGAGGAAAAACTGAGCCTGAAGCTCTGTGATATGGATCATAGCAGTGGGAGCAAGAACAAGTTGACTGGTGAAACATCCCATTTCTCGGGTGTGTATTGAACAAATCATGACCGTTGTTGCCGATATACGGTCTAGAGTAGTGCGGGTGAGATGGCTTCAGGGTTCCTTCATGCATCTGGAACCTGAGAGGCTCTCCATAAGCTGGAACATGAGCCTGGTTATGCATCGGACCGTGCAGCAGAGAAACATCAGGGTTACTGTTATAAGGACATGGAGGTTCAGGTTCTGGATATTGGTGGTAATAGGAAGGACCTGCAACGTGTTTCCCAGAACTTGGAAACCGCAATGGAGGCTTTTTGAATCCTGAAGACCAACTCGGAATCTGCTGTTCTTTTAGCTTATCTAATTTTCTCACCAGTCCTGCTCTGTCTTGCCTGATTGCTTCATCGGTAGACACAGAACCTGGAAAGTAGTTAGAAGCGGAGAATCTGAAACCCTCGGAATCGCATCTCTTCGTTATTCTTTTCCTAGAACGATCCAAACCCGATTGAGAATCCTTCTTCACTTGATCACTGTGAACATCCCAAGTCTCTGTTTGACTAATTTGTTGGTGTCTTAAAGAAGTACTTGAATCGGATTCTTCTTCACTTGAACCAGAGTTAACTTGAGTTTCTTTGGCTCTATTTTTCACGGACTTGTCTACCACTGGATCTGCTTCGACACTCTCCTTGTTTTTGGCTTTACACACAAAACAAAACAAACAAACAAAAACTCTTTTGGGTCAGAAAAAAAAAATTACCCTTTTTACCCAGTCGACGTCACCGAAATCAAAAACCAGAATCAGAACATTATATGAGAGTGGTTGAAACATCAAAACAAGAACTAATCTCGAAATGATCCATTTTGGGTCGAACGTTCGTCATGTAAAGAGAAACGGAAACTAACCGCAAAGAACGGTTCCACAACCACCGCACTGGAAAAAGGAACAATCTTTAGGCTCTTGTAAGAGATTTTTGCACTTTGGACAACGAACTAGCTTTACTTCAATCGTCGACTCGGCCATTACCGGAACAGATTCTCAAACAATTGCTTTTTCTTGATGGGCTTTTCTTTAGGTCTCTAAAGAAATGAAGAAGAGGGAAACTAGGAAGAAGCTCTTTTTTCTATTCTTTACTCTTTTTCCAAATCTTCATTTTCCCGGCAAAAGTAAACATGAAGAAGAGAAAATCAGAGAGAGAGAGAGAGAGAGAGAGAGAGAGAGAGAGAGAGAGAGAGAGAGAGAGAGAGAGAAAGGGGGAGAGAGAGACACTCTGGGTTTATGCTATGTCTCTGAATTTTCCCTCCTCAAACAGCAGAAGATGGCAACATTACCGAACAATTTAATTGTAAATGATTAAATTAAAACGGCGTCGAAATTATTTAGCCTTCTAAGACAACCAGAAAACGGTGTCGTTCGGCATTTAACTTAGTAGTACTGTACTAATTATTTCTTCTGAAACTGTGACGCAACGCAACCTTGGGTTTAAAGTTTTAGGCGTTAGGCGTTGATTGTTAACTCAAGTCCAAATCACAATATTTGATTTTGTTTACTTTTTCCTAACATCAAAGAAAAAGACTTGAGCATGTAAGGTCATAATCGATTCATTATGGGCGGGACAATCTATAATGTGGGCCATTGCTTTCTATTTTATCCGCTAAGGAATAAAATTCAAAGATTACTGTTACTTTTTTAGATATTTTTTTGTTGGAAATCCAAGCTATTTCAAATTTTACTTATTACACATAGAGGCATTATAAATTATTTTGAAAAAACTGGCCATTTTACCCATCCTTTGGAACTTCTCGAACTATATGTACTCTGAATCAACAAATAGTGTGAATTTTACTCGTACCCAAAAAAAGAGTAAATTTTATTCAGATAAATTAGTAAAATACTGTTAGAAAATAGAATATAGGGTCCGAAGTGGAGCTCACAAAATGAAAAATATTAAAGAGGGAGAAACGGTCAAAAGCGAAACTGGAATAAAGGATACATTAAATTGATGAGGTTATGGAAGAGAGTAGTTAGTTGTCTATTTCTCATTTATTTTTCTATTTCAATTGTACTGATTTTGACTTTTTTTGTATGATATGTTTTTTTCATACATACTAGAAGACCTTATTGTGTCTTTTTATTATCGAGTGGTTTTAGTTCTCGATTCATCCGTTAAGAAAAAAAAAACAACGGTAAGAACTCTCTATCTAACATTTTAACTTTAGAAACAATGAAAAATAAAATAAATAGTTTAGTTAGTAAAATTTCAAAAGACTTAACGAGGGAAAGGAACCAAACTTATTCCAATTCATTTGAGAACAAAACTTAAAGAGAAAGACAGAAGATGCGGTCGAAGGCTAAACTACATATATAGGATTTAAAGTACAAAACAAAAGGTAAAAGCAAAATACAGCTTTTAAGTTTCAAACTCACTTCGAATCAGTCAAGTTTGTAGACCTACTAGGACATTTCGAACATTGAATATGGGCCTGTATGGGCTTAACATTAACCCCACAAGTAACACAGTTTCTTTTTTTCGCTCATACTGAAGTCTGAAATATTGATTGTTACGCAATAGGAAAATACCACATAATATAGATTCCTAATCTTTTTATAACCTGGATAAATCCCAAGACATTACCTTTAACCTCGAAGTAGAATGTTAGAGATTCCTACGGTAGAAGGTATACAGTTATCAAGAAAGAACCACATCGATTTTATTAAGAAAACCTTAATTAAACAATTTTTTTTTTTGGTTTTTCATCCGGTAAACGATTAAAAAGAAAAAAAAAAATATGTTACACTTTAGACAAACAATTTCTTGTAGTACGAATCCCACCATAAAATACAGTCAGACAGCTTCTTCTTCTTGAATGTTTCCTTGATTTTCTCATTCTTCTTTCTATTCCACCAATATTTTCTCCGATGTATAGAACATGTGGTCGTCTTGGAAGCAGAGGAATAGTCGTCTTTATCTTTATCCATCAGAGCTCGTAGACTCATACCAGACGGCCGAGTGAGCGGAGGGAAGGGCAGTAGTTTGCGTTCGATGATGTGAGCAAAAGAGACGAGCTCGTAAGAATCGTAGAGAGGACTCTCACAGTCCCAGATTTTGTGATCTCGACCACCACTGATCTTCTCTGTTACTGTGACTTGTGAGTTACAACTCACAGGGAGTCTTGCGTTTGTCATAAGTGAAAGGCTGAAGAGTTTCTCTACTTTGATTTCTGACGATTTCTTAATAGTGTGTTTCAAGGTTTTTTTTGTTGCTGTGTCTCTGTGTCAATGTTTGTTGTTAATATAGGGATTGAAAATCTGAGCTGGCCAGATAGGATTTTGTGTGTGAGTATATTTTTTTTATATAATAATGAATTGTGAGACGATTCTGTTTTTAGTAAAAAACAACGAAATACATATATTGTTCATAAATGTTCATGTATTTGATTAATACCAAATTCACTACTCAACGTAACAGTGTATGCATGTTCAATTTGTCAATGTTAGTCTGTAATCGTTCCGTTACAACAATTTCCAGCTATCATTTTTCCTTTTGTAATTTTTTTCAAAATTAGAAAATTTCAATACGCGATATTCCACTTTGGTTTTGCGACTGGTAAATTATTTAGGATACTTTTCTAAAAAGATTATAATTTTTTGTAAATAAAGATATAATATATATGGTACGTTATAGTATTAATTATCAATTTATCATCTATTATATATATATATATATATATATATTCGTGAAAACCCAATGCATATCATAAAGAATGAAGAGTTTGGGGTGAAAATGGCATGCAATGAACCTGTGTGTGTGGTATGTTGTTGTCCAATAAAAAGAGATACATACATCATCTTAAAGTATAAATAAAAAAACAATTATTATAAATTTTTTGGTGTATGTAGCCACTTATATATATAGAAAACACTTATTCACCCACTTATAATAAATCGATTTTTTTTTGGTTAAGATTGCAATCGTTTGATTTGCAATTCACATATTTTCTTATAACGTGGAGTATATACTAATACACATTAGTCCCCCAAAAAAATAAAACAATTCATTTCAGGCATGGACATGAATAGTCTGGAAGAGAATACATCAATGGATTGCATGCGGATCAAACATATATAACATCTATGTGAAAAATCTCTCCCCGTAAAAATGTATGACTAATTAAAATCTTATAACAACATCTTAGAAAACATTTTAACAAAAGGATAATGGGTCTTCTTGTGGACCGACAGGCGACAGTGAATTTTGCTACTATTCAGTTATAAAAAAATTCAATAGTGTTCTGTTTTGTATTCGTCTTTGAACTTCTTTTCGTCCAGCGGGTTTATATCAAGATGCTAAGACAATCACAATCTTGTCAGTATGATCATGATTCATGCATATGTTAAAAAAAAACTTACGTCTCAAGAGACGATAACGTTACTTAAAAGAGTTCGGATTATGAAAAGTTACTTTGAGATTTACATTAGTGTTTTGTCCACTCACACACCAATGAATGATGTAATAATCACGTATAGCTTCTCAGACAAAATCACACCACGATGGTTGTCTTTTTAAATTACTTGCTCATTATGTGTCTAGATTCCAATATTTAACGTCACATCAAGAATCCATTTATCTGCCAAACATTAATTGCACAAAAAGCAAAGTAAAGCCACTGTGACACATATATATTTCTATATAAAGATAAAAAGTTTTTCCACCTTGCGCCGAATTAAATAACAAAAGTAAACTATAACTATTGACAATAAAGACAATAAACAACAGAAAACCACTTTTCTTGATTGCACACACAATATCATTCAAAAGCTGTGCTGAAGAAACTATGCAACACATTCCCACACAGAATTTGCAGAACCTTGGCATTACTTGGCTTCACACATCTTGGCATCTTAAACTGTCCAGCCGATGAACCAAGCCCGAGAAAATGTTCTTGAACCTTCCTGAAAGTTCCTTTCTCGACAATTCTCAGCTCCAACGCTCCAATAGTCTTGCATTTTCGGGAACTCATATAGCCCGCATCGATGAACCCTCGGTCTAAACAGTTGCAGCAATCTTGGAGAACATCTTCGTTCGTTTCACCTGAAATCTCCCAGAATATAACGTAGTGTCCAGGATCAGTCGAGACATCGACGTGGCTTGAGAAGTCGATGACTTCGATCTTTTCTTCCGAGAGTCTCTTTGCTGCTGATTCCACGGAAAGCTGAAGGTCTCGTTCGGTGTTCTTGTCGATGTTGATCGAGAGGATTAGGTTTCTCCTGCATATAAATTTCAGTTGCGGAGTTTTGTTGTAGAAACCAATGATCTTTACCACATCTCCAAGCCGGTATCGATACAACCCTGCGCAATGAGATTGACTAAATTTAAGACATAACAAACAATGGTTGTAAGAGAAAGAAAGCCTTGTCTAGTAATTATACCTGCGTAATTTGTGATGACAACCTCGTACTCTTGTCCAAGTTTGACATCAGTTAAACCGACGGGTTCAAGCTCGCCATCTTCCCCTGTTTCAGACACAGGGAGAAACTCGAAGAAACCGAGATTAGGAATCACGGCAAAGGTAGCTTCCTCAGGAGACAAGCTCGGAGTAACATTAGCAGCAATCCAGCCTTCAGAGCTGCCGTAGTCATGGCTCACAAGAGGTAAATCAGCAGCGTAATGTCTCAGCTTTTTCACATACGGCTCCATGGAGCCAGTCATGATCCCGTAAACATACTTTGCGTTGGGGAAGAGAGCAGGAATCAACCCATACCAATTGCTAAGACTCATGCATTTGGAGCGTATTGTGTCTGCTAGCTCAGGGTTAGGTGTGAGCAGCTTCGACATTGCGTTACGCACAGATGGGACGGTGATGCGGTTGCTTAAGACGCCGTCTTCTATATCGGTAACGATCTCTTCCCAAACCTGTTCAAAGGTTCTAAACGCGTGAACTATACCGTGAGCGAAAGGAGCAAAGACGTATTGAACTTGGTCTCGGAACAGGACTCCTGATAAGAGGTGGCAGTACAAGGCTTGGTGGACATCAGGACTGAAGATAACTTCGTCGGGGCTACAACAAGGGGACTGTATAGATTTCATGCCGGCCTTGAAATTAGGGTTCCGGTAAACGTTTGTGGTTGCGGTTCCAACAGGGACACCTCCCGTTGATATGTACTGCTTGCTGCTGAACAGAAATTGCAAAGCTTTCCCATTCTCATCTATTGGAAATTCTCTGTTCAATGTTTTCAAACAACATCACCACATGTTATAAACCAAGTTAAAGGAAAAAAGTAATATTTTTTTTATAATCTGCGGCAACATTTATGTTGGTAGTTTCTCTGTTCATCTCAAATGGATGGAACAGAGAAAAGTGTGAAATGTGGGGAACATGATCACTAATTCACTATATACAAATATATATATATATATATATATATATATATATATATATACCTGTTTCTGAAGGCAAAAGCAGTGCGAAACAGTTGCAATGTGTTCTCCATTAATTCATCAGTGAAAGGAACAAACTTTGGACGGCCTTGACTAGTTCCAGAGCTGTGGAGGATTATAGCAGATTTCATTCATTAATCTCTGAGAAACAACAGAAAAGGAGATATGTTTATAAGAGTGAGTGAGTTTAGGCTAAAAGAAGGACCTCAAGGAAATGGCTGGAACGGGCTGGCCTGTGAGGATAGGTGAAGTGTCACCATCCACCATTCTTTTGATGTAAGGCTCTAAGTCAAGATCAGTGACTAATGGAACCAATGCTTTGAAAGCTTCTGGGTCTGTTGTGTTTCCATTGATTCCAAAGTTTTGTAAGTAAACGGCGGATTTGTTCTTCTGTAGAATCTCTTTCAAGGTCTGTATCTGGACTTGATCTGCGTCTCTTGTCATTTCATCGAATTCATCGATTACTCTGTTCATGTTGAAACTCTCCACTTTCTCCAACATCCTGAATTATACCAAAAAAGAAATAAAAGGGGAGGAAAAAAATGAGCAACAATGGCAAAAGAATTCATCAAAAATAGCTGGAGACAATCCGTACCAGATTCTCAGATTTAGCAAAAGGCGGCAGATTCTGACAGATTTGCAGAATAGCTAAGAGAAGGAGAGGGAGAGAGAGAAAAAAAAAGAAAGATAATATAAGGAAGGAAGAAACTTAAAGCTCTTTATGTTTATGAGAATCCAGAAAGGGAAAGTTTTAAAAGAAGTCGGAAAACTTTTTAGCAGATTTTTTAAAAAGGTGGAAAACGGTTTCCGGAATCTGCGCATACTCTTTGTCAGAGAAGCGTAAGGGAAGGAGGAAGACAAATTCAAAACAGAATGAACAAGACCACTCAACTCTGACGATGACTCCCATTTATTCACTCCCCAAACATAATTTCCCAATAGTCTTAACAGTTAATTTAAGGAAGAGGAATCAACAAATTAAGAGACCGTTGTTTTCGAGGAACACAATAGTTTTCCAGAGGGTTACAATCAGACCCCAGTTGGAATCTATCAGATTAGGAGGAGAAGTAAGAGACGAGAACTTTGGAATCTATCTGAGTATAAAAAAAGAAGAGAGAGAGAGAGAGATAGAGAGAGAAAAGTCAACGAGGTCGGAGCCGGATAAACTATTGTTTTCCCGATCAAAAGAAACGAAATACAGAGATTTGGAAACGCACAGCATAAAATTCCCGATGAAGGAGAGTGAGAGAGAGACAGAGAGACGTACCTGCTGTTGCTGCGAGCTCTGTAGATTGGAGGAGGATATAGAGATAGAGAGAGGAAAAGAAGAAAAAGTTGAGTGATTTTAGAAAGTCAGAGAAACTGTGAAATTTATAGAGTCGATTAAAAAATCAAAAACCAAAAAAAGGGGCAGAGAACAAGTTTGATATTTTGAAGGCGATTGTTCAAGTGAAAAGCCGTTACTGAGTTTTATGTCTAAATCTCTCTTCCTCTTTTTCTGTGACTCGCAATTCTCGCCGACGGGATTTCAGTTTTTTGTTTTTTTTTTTACTTTTTTTTTCCTCCGACCAGATTTCTGTTTTATGTTCTTCACACGAAGTTGGTCCAGTCCATTTAAAAAAAAAACGTACTACATAATAACACATTATCCATATTATATAAGACCATCTCCATTAGTGACATACTCTTAATTTAAAAATATTATTAAAGTATCTCATTATTCAAAAAAAATATCATTATTCAAAAAAAATTTGAGCATCCTGTCACAAATTTCAATCTCCATTAGTGAGATATACATTAAATTATTTTATTAATAATAATACTATTTTTGTACAATTTTTATTCAATTATAATTTATTTTTAAAATTATTTTAAATTTATTTTAAGTGAGAAAAAATTTTCATTTTTTACATCAAGTGAAAACTTAAATATATAAATTATATTAATTAGTTATATTTATTTATATCATCTATGATAGTAAAAATAATAAATACATAAATATTAATAATGTCACTACAAAGAAAATTTTTTAAATAACATAATTAAATATAAATTACATAATTTAACCTTTAAAAATAAATTTAAAATGCTAGAAAATATAGATAACATACAAGAAAAATATATACTTTAATCTTGTACTTTATGGAGTTTGATAGATAAATAATTTAATTTTATAATTTATATATATATATAATAAATAATAACATTTAAATTCTTTAATTATAATTTTAAAGTAATAGATATATAACTTATTTAAAAAGATAAACTATTTAAAAATTGACATGTCTCATCAGAGAAATTCTCAAAGGATTCTCAAAATTTTTGATATGAACCCATCCTCATTTTTTTCTCTAAAATTATTATTTATTTTTATAGTTTTTTAAGTTGAGATATGTATTGAAATATCCCAATAAAGATGACTCTAATAACGACGCCAACTATTTTTGTTACGGGTTCTCTAATACCAAAACTTTAGTTTAATTGTCATAGGCTTTGTTTGGATGCGATTTTTCATGTTACCTTGAACTTTAAATAATCTCGTGTGGACAAATTACATCGATAAACTTCAAATGAGATACTACACTAAGCAGTTACGGTAAAGCCAACTTTTGTTAAGAGAAGTTCTTGAGTGTTGGTTTATCTTCTTAAATTCTTGAGTGTTGGTTTAATAATGATTATGAAATTATATAGGGGTTTCAACAGTTTATATACTGATACTAGAAGTTCTAAATTAACATCGGATTAAATTTTAAACGTACGGCCATTGTGTAAATGAAAATATTTGAATTCAACATTATTAATTCTAAGACATATCATTAATTACTGGGTACAGCCTCATTTAGATTTAACAAATACTAAATACTGTTCTTATTAATACCACGGGTTGTGATACCAAATTAAATGAACAACGTTTGATAGTTTTTATGTTTGGTTTTGGTACATTGGGGACACAGATATTTCTATATTAAATGTGAGGCGTTTGGCGAGAAAAAAATACTATTAAAAATTATTGAAATTAGTTCCTTTCACAATTCAGTATATAATACGTTTAGACGATTTGCAAAAGTTTTATCCAATTTGAACTTGAGTTTCAAATTGAGTTTTTTGCAATTTCTATCAATTTCTGTTAAAATCAGTTTCATCACTTTTTTAGACAATAACGGCTATTGATCATACGACGTTAAGGCATACGACGTTATGTGCAATTTTTGATTTTTAAAAAAGAAATCCAATAATATATCCCTTCGGCAAGGTTGGAATTTATTTCCAAAAATGATCGTCTTTTTGCATCATTAATTCATTCATACTTCTATCGAGAAAATCATGAACTGGTTCGAATTAGTGGAAAGTCTCAGTTTAAAGCAGTTTAAACCGCTTGACCCCCCAAAAAAAGGTGTAAATACTGTCTACGATCTACATGCATGACACAAGTCAACACAAATCACATTTTCCTCCATCAATAAATATTTTGAGCTAAAGACAGTATTGTACCATGACACAACTTAATTAATTGTGGACGCTGATATGTAGTTTGCCTACCTAAATTATTTTTATAAATTTATCCATAATGGTTCTTGCTCGTTTGACAACAAAAGAAGTTAATCCTACTTTGGAAAATAACTAAGAACCTTAATATATGTCAATGAAGTGCGAGGTAAATGGATCCAAGTCCAACCCACGTCAAACAATGTAAATTACAACGATAACCTTGTTAACAGTGATGGAAGTAGCTTTTAATCTGATAATTTTGTCACGTGGACGATTATAATTAGTGTAGAAGGAAATGATCCTCTGGATTGCATTTAGTAACACCGAAGTGCGTTCCCCTATACACGTGACAGGTGCCGTCCACTTATATTTCGTATCGTCTCTTATTATTTTGTCGGTCACATTCTTTTCATTTTCCTTATTTTCGCCCCAAATGTTTCATGAAATTACGAGGAATGCCTGATTTTCAGTGGGCCTTCTTCATACGCCACTCCACTTATTTTTTATTTATTATTATTATAATTAGTATTAGTTATGGTTGTTGTCAACTTGCACTTTCCCTAAACACCGAAAATTAGCCAGGTCCATTAACAGAACAACAAAATATGTAAATCAGTGACGCATTAGTTACTTTAAGTACCGTTTTCTCCCTGGTGCTTAAAACCTTGTTTAAGTTATATTTATGGTATGGCCATGATTCACTTTAGTTGAAGTTCGTTTTTTTGTTCTTTATCTGTGGATTAGGGCCAGTTTCAATTGCAGACAGTTCTTTCATATTCTTTGTAAATATTATTTTTTGTTTATCTCCACCACAACAAGAGGTATACTGCATCCCAACAAGAACAAGGAGAATTAACAGACCCATAAAAAGTAAGAATTGACCTCAATAGAGGTAAGTGATTAAGATAAGACGAATAGGTATACGACACACAATCTATTCAATAAGCATAGTTATTTATTTGGGAAAAAAACTTAAAAAACCCTCAATTATTTAATATTTGCCAGTTTGAACTTTTTGTGTTGCCAGAAATCTACATGAATTAATTTTTTGGATCAAAAAACTATCTGAAATATTTTATAGTTCCAGTTTTCACCCCACGATTTCACGGCCGTTAACGGTCAAACGGAATTAATAAACTCTGTTATTTTCCAAAACAAGAAAATACTAAAAAAAACCTTCAACTATTTAATCTTTGTCAAAAAAATACCTGAACTTTTAATATTGCCAAAAACCCACACAACCTAATTTTTCAGTGTCAAAAAATTCTGAAATATTATACGGTTTCAACTTTTACCCCACTACTTCACATCCATTAATAGTTTTTCCCAGATTCATTCGCTGATGGTTATTTATTTGATATTGGTTTGTTTCTCATCATATACAACATTTATTTCGAAAGGCGATTTGAATATAAGTTCCTAACTAATCGACTCTTTCGAAGAATGATTTCAGTGGCTCATAATAGATTAATAAATATAAATTAGTAGGTAATCAACGGAGATAAAGTGTGATAGATATTTTTAATCATCTATGAAGATCATCTTAGTGGAGATTAAATCAGCCCAAAAATAAAATGAAGCACTCATCTACAGAATCTTTAGTCATAAATATATCTGAATTTCAAAAAAATATATCGTAATTTATTTCGAATTCTATTGGTGATAACTTTGTTTTTAGTTGTTGTAAACTCTTTGATATTTTGGGTTTTTAGTGTCATTTAACTCCAAAAACAAAAATTAGCTAATGTGGGTTTTTGGCAACAATAAAAGTTCAGGTATTTTTTTAGCAAAGATTAAATAGTTGAGGGATTTTTCAGCTTTTTTTTGTTTTAGAAAATAACAGAGTTTACTAATTCCGTTTGACCGTTAACGGCCGTGAAATCATGGGGTGAAAACTAAAACTATAAAAGATTTTAGGTAGTTTTTTGATCCAAAAAATTAGTTCATGTAAGTTTCTAGCAACGCAAAAAGTTTAGGTAGAAAACTGACAAATATTAAATAGTTGAAGGTTTTTTAAGTTTTTTTCTCTTTTTATTTTAATAATCATACATATTGATGTCTCCATGCATTTGTCATTAGTCTCATCGAATAATTTGCTACCATAGTGGTCCCATGCCCCATGGATGTTAATTATGTTGACTCGTTTTATAGCCGTCTTATATTATTTTTTTGTTTAGCTTTACAATTAGCCAATGGAAGCACACATTCGAATGTCAGACACTTCCAGCAATACATGTATAACTTATGTTTAAAGGGCAAATATATTTATAACTTATTACTTCCATTGAATTCTACTGCTATAAAATTAGGTTTATTTTACCAAGCGAGTTGATCACGCCAACACTATTAAAAAAATATTTTAACGACGCATATATAAATGATTTATGTTAATATTGTGATTATGTATCTTTTTTTTTGTCAGAGTTGTGAATATGTAGCTATTCGGATTCAAACCTCCACAATGCATCATGTTGACGACAAAAAACATAAACATGTTGTAATCTATGTAATCTCGATTTTATGGAAAGTAGTTTTTAGCTTTTACATACCAAAAATTTGTTAATAACCATTTCAAAAATTTTCTTCCTCGTTACTATTAGGCGAACCATAAATATATATACAACCTAGATCAGTCTTTAATTAAAAATGTTGCTTGTAACTTACGTGTGATGAGATATTAACAACGTTTTAAATTTATTTAATTGATATGTATCTAAAAATTTTCAATTTTTGGACGTGAGAAAAATCAAATACCAATGGTCTTATTGATAATTACAAAAAGCGTTTTTAAAGATACATACCTCCAAATCAGTGGCTTTGCTTTTTATGACGTTTGAACCCTTTTCTTTTACCACGTAAAATTATTACAAAAAGGATCGTATTGACTAGAATAGTGGTTAGTATTTGCATTCAATAACGCAATCATGTAATTGAACAAAAGGCTGAGACGTTTGTAAGCAAAAGTTTCATGAACAACAAAGTAACAGAATATAGCCACATTAAAAAAAAAAACTCATTTAGCTTACGCACATATCAAATGATTGATCCTTAATTATATTTGATAATTTTTTTTTTTTTTTTTTTTGGGTCAAAAAAAAATATTTGATAATTTTCTCAGTTTCACCTTTAGAGCTTTATTCTATAAACTAATCGATCATATTCTAGTGCTTACATTCTTACTAAAATTAATGACTAAAATTCAGCTTCAAGTTCTAAAATTTAGTCTGTTTTCCCTTTTACTTTTAATTATAACTTGATTTAAATCTCTGTCGAACACAATCTTTTATTTATTTTTGGCATTTCTAAATTTTGTACAAAATTATAATTTATGCATACATAATTTTTGTTTGAAAAACTTAAATGTCTAATGGAGACAGTATCATAACGTATTACTCATAGTCATTAGATTCATTAGTGAATAGTTACAAACCCAAACTTCTTTTTGCTGTTTGCCCAGTGACCAAAAATGGGTTTTGCGAAAACGACCACTAGTGTAGTACGCAATTTTGTTTCCGTCCACTTTTAATTGTATTCGTTATCGCTTATCATCACTTTTTGTTTGTTTTTCAAGTCATCTTCTCATTGTAAAGAAGACCCATCGTGTGAACATCTTTTCCCCTCGACGGCTAGCCGAAATTTTTAATGATTAAACACTTTCTACTTAACGAAATATTTTATTTCTTCATAGTAGCACAATTTAAAAAAAAAAAAAATCTACCATTACATTTACACGTGTTGCATAAATTTATACGACATGTCTCTGTATCATGTATTTTAATGTCTATGCCTCTGTGGAATATTCGACCGACCGAATTAAATGAGTTATAAAAGTTTTTTATTCTAAGGACTAGGCTGGTGAGTTTCGGTTTTATTTTCGAGTCGACCTCACGATTTGTGTCGACCAAGGTCAATGAGTGCTGAGCTGCCTATCCGATTTTTATGTGGCATTAATTATAAATTAGCATAAGTTAACGGTCTCATGTTGCAAGAAAGAAAAAAAGAAAGAAAGAAAGAAAGAAAGAAAGGGATTGTGGATTAGGTTCTGGACTAATGATTTTACAATGACTGTTCAAGGGGAGATTAGGTAGAGCCGTAGGGGTTAATGGCTGTTAATGGTTTTAATATTATCATTAGGCTACCTACTGACCATCGAGATGAAAAAAAAAAAACAAAGATGTGTGTCAAAGTTTGGGCTCAAAGGTCTGACATTTGTGTTGAAAGGTTGTTTTGTTTAAGGCCCATAATATTGCCTAATTGGATGGGTTTATGAAACATGTTTTTTCCATGAAATGAACTAGGAGGTAATCGTAACTTAATCTTTACAATATTTTTTTAAAGAAAAATTAAGATTATAATGTTCTTAATTTATGGATTCTTCTACTTTAGTAAACTCTTAGATTATTTGTTGTACAATACGTTAGCTACATATTTGCGTTATAACTTGCGCCAGAGAAAATAATAGATAATGTTACTTATAACCTCTTTTCCAGGTTAATTAATATATTAAATTTCCATCTCTTCTGTAGTGATATAAGATTGGATATAACTTCTGTACAAAGTGAATACTTTGCTTAAAAGTCTTCTCATTTACGCCCCCCCCCCCCCCCCAAAAAAGAAGGGTCTATTATTATCTTTATATATATAGGGGCCCCAAAAAAAAAGATTTTGATTGGAAAAAAAAATGATTGTGTTAAGCTACCGGGGAAATCACAAGATGAGTCACGTCCCTTCACATTTTTCCTGTAATGCCTGCCCATTATAGACATATAGGGTAGGATAAAAACATGAGCATTATATATAAGGAGGTACAAGAAATGTCAAGAATCTAAACAAGTTCTTTTTATGTTTTCACCTGAAGTCCTTAGCCATGGGTTGAAGAACGTGCGTTTTTTTCTCCATAAGCTTTGTTTCCTTCATAAACCTCTTGTTAGCACGTCTTCTTGATTCACGAGCCTCATGATGATCTCTTCCCTCTTTCTCAAAACTCTTGTCGTCTGCGTTACAAAGCTGAGAGAGAAGCACCACCATGAGATTTACACCCACCAGAGAAGTTGTCTCGTCTTCTCTTTTCTCCTGCTTGCGGTGTTCGATATTATCTTTACGAGACGAATCCATAAACCGAAAATAACACACAAAAAAACAACAATTATTGGGACCCGCGAGCTCTTAATTAGTCCCAAAATTAGTCGTTTTTCCGACAAGAAATTATCTCTCGTTTAAAAAAAAAAAAAAAAAAATCTTTTTTTGGTGTGTAGCCATTCTTAGTAGACTACGTTTTAAAAATATGGCTGCAACTTTTTGAGTGGTAGAGAAATAAGATTCTAAATGTCAATAGTCAATCGATAAGAAAAATGCTGAACTCAATGCTTTTTTACTGTGGTTTTGTTTTTAACATCCTAAAACGAATGCTTAATTAGTGGATTTATAGATATATACCGCCTAATAGAATCGATTTCACCTAAAATCAGGTTAGTTTAAAATTATATTTTTACAAATATCGATTTCACCTATGGAAAACAAATATTGTGTTTAATGGGCCACGAGAATAATCTACTAATATATAACGAACCAGCCCATCAAGTTTAAAAACGGCCCAGCACATAAACTGTTTTTTATATTGGAGTAGTATTAATTATTTCGGAATAGGTCGTGGCCTAATAATCTTCACATAATTCACGTGATCCCCCTCGAATAACGAATAGATTAAGCGACGTTGACGTGTTTTAATCTCCTCCTCTTAACAAATATCCCCTTGAAGTCTGAAGATCATTTCCCCCATGCAACATTCTTAATGCCCACGCCTTTTCTCATTATTACCAACCCTACCCCTACAGCCACTCATTGTTCTCACCATAGAGGAGTGGCAATTTCCCGTAAATAAATCCAGAAACAGCACCCGTCTCTTTAGCTGATGTCACTAACTCAAGATTATCAACGTAATCTCGTGTCGTAATCTTTTAATCTCTCTACTTAAGCCAGCAGAAAAAAAATCTCTCTCTCTTTTCTCATAAAGTAATAAAATATCAAATAAAATAATGTTCGGAAAATTCTCCGCCAGAAAAAATAAAAAGCATATGATTATGATATGTGGCTTCAAGCCTAAATTAATCATTAAAATAATAAAAAAAAATTTAAAAAAAGAAAAAAAAACAAGGAATGAAGAACGAATGATTCAAGCGTAGAGGAGATTCATTGTGTTTCGAGTCGATAATTTTTGTTTCCCGTAAATTATCAGTATTGCAAGTTTATAGCCTCTCCTTTCTTCTTCTTCTTCTTCTTCTTCTTCATTACCTGTGTGTTTTTGAATCGCTTCCTTCAAGTTATTTTTTTGAGGTTTCCTCGCTTCTTCTCCAGTTGCCTCACCGTATGGAACCACCGCTTCACTCTATGATCTGATTAGTGATCTCTCGGTATCTGGAGTGGTAAGCGATTTGATTTTGTGTATTTCTCGTTTCGCGTAGTTTTTCCATGATTGGTTTTTCGTTTGCTGAATTTTCACTTAATCTTCGTAGCTTCTAATTAGCTGCTTGAGATTACGCTGGCTATACGTTTGAAATTTGCTTTTCCGATTTGCGTGTTTTAAGTAGTTTAGAATCTCGACATACGGAGAATTTTAATAGATAGAATTATTTCTTCTTCTTTTCTTCTTCTTCTTGTCGGTTTGATTCTGATGCGATTCAGTTGTTTTTATTATGGTTATGATGATTAGGGCATGGAGGGTATAGATTATTGCCTGTGCTGAATGTGGATGCCTGTTATGGAAAGAGTCGGTGAAGAAACAGTGGCGAGTAACAACATAAAATTGAAAGGACGAGTGGATGATGTTCCTTGTAAGCTTGATGGTCGTCAAATGGTGACTGAATCAGAAACTGGGAACGATTCTTTGAGGAGCGATTGTCCTGGAAGCTCAGCTCACAGGAATGTAGATATAAACAAGCCTTCGGAGGAATCTGCAGGAGCCAAGATTTCTGTTGAAGAGCTGACATTGGGAAACTATAGGGTAGTTCAAGGGATTAATAATAACATGGATAGTTCTAGGGCTGGCAAGTTTGAGCATCTCTATCGTCTCGCTAGAGGTTCTGCGTTTAAGGCAGGAGAAGGGGAACTTGATTCTCAACCTCGTGACATGGATCAAATGTTGTCAAGAATCAGACAACAGCTCGCGGGAGCTCCTTCCGAGAGGCAAAACTTGAAACCTTTTACGAATAGGAGGAGCGATCAGAATCTCGAAGCCTTTTCTGAACGTCTAAGAGCAGCTGGCGAGAACAGCATTATGAACGCTCCTGCTTGGATTAACGAAAGTGTCCACTTGAAAACGCCCTTGACTTCTTCCAGTTTTTCTCAGATGATACTTAAAAGAGCTATGAAGGGGAAAGGAGTAGTAGGGAAAAACCAGGAAACTCCTCCTGAATTTGTCTGTGATCAGATATAGGATGCAAGGGAAAAAAAGGTGGGA